AGACCGCCGCCATATAGCTGGAATATTGCTGAGTGTGGCGTAAAAGTAAACTCACTCACTCACTAGTTATTTACAGACTGCCACATGATATAGCTGGAATATTGCTGAGTGCGGCATTAATCAACAAACCAACCACAGTAATACGTCCTGATCATGTTGGGGTCATAATAGACATTATACCATTGGTGACACTTTTGACTTTCTTGGCGTTTTCCTCAGGCTAGCTATTCTCGAAACATTTGTAGCCCTATGAACTTCTTAACCCATTCTTAACTAGTGGTGTTCTGATTACTAGTAACTGAAATAATCGAAGATTGGTCGCAGTGACCAAATGTCCAAGCAATCGATCACATTTTCTCATAATCGAACACAAACGATTTTGGAACTGCTGTTTTAGTCTTTAAAACACTTGACGATGGAACATATCTTCGAAGTTGTCGGGGGCCTGCAAACTTGTTTAATTCTTAGAAAACTCACTTCACTAACAGAAAAGTCATGACTGAATATTTCTCTAAGACTCCAGGAAGTTTATGTTCATGATATATTAGTCATCACTTTAATGTAACAAGTTGCATCATCTTACACCTATCTGCAGTAACAACCTAGATAGGACAATCTGAAAAATGATGCTAACCAATTTTTTTTGATGATTGTTTGTTGGTAATGAAGCAATCATTAATTGTGAGATTTCAACCAATTCCCAACACTATTCTTAACACATTGGCTACGATCAAAGTTAAGAATTCTTAGGGCTACGAACGTTTCGAGAATAAGGGCCCTGTGTTGTATATATGGAGGAAGGTGGAAATAACATTCGGTTGAAAGCATTGTGATTACCAATTACTATTCTGCTGATAATTTTCAGTTCAAATATTTGAATACATTTTACCACATAGTAATCACATACAGTTATTCTAGGTCCCAGTGATTTGCCTGAACCTTGCTTGACTGGGTGTTACAGACTATTGGGTGTTGAAATTATCGGGGTGGGTGTTTTAAGATCTAATGCAGAGATAGTTGAATCAATGTACAGGTTCAGCAACCATGGTAACTAAAAGAAAACAATCATTATATTCACACCCAAACATCATAAAATCTTCCTTATGTGAAAAATGATTGTCACATCTAGAGGGTTGGAAATATCTAAGTATTAGCATGTTGTATGTAAAATAGTATCAGTACATGCCTATTCTGGCACACATGTATTCTACTAGCCCATGGATCCCTATAACACTGTGATCTTGTTAGCAGTTGTGCTGGAGTGATATGCACACTTCTACCCTGTGTCAAGCTGATCTTGTTAGCAACCGCCTCCGTGGTGTAGTGGTTAGAACGTCCGCCCGGAGAGCGGAAGGTCGCGGGTTCGATTCCCGGCCGCATCATACCAAAAGACGTTAAAATATGATACTTGTTGGTCCCTGCCTGGGGCTCGGCATTAATGGGTACAACAAGGACTGGTCGGCTCGGAGTCAGTATAATGTGTCTGAGTGGGGTATTCATGCTGAAATGCGGTGTGGTATCTCAGTGGGCTAGCACTATAAAACCAGCTGAAGTCTGGGCTAGTACAAGCAGCCGCACATACACATACACACGCATGCACGTGGTCATATGAGCGAAATATTCTCAAGCACGACGTTAAACCCAATTTCACCTCACCTCACCTGATCTTGTTAGCAGTTTTGCTGGAGTGATATGCACACTTGTACCCTGTGTCAAGGTGATTGTATGGTACAGTGTTATCTATCTTATCTTGTCTATCCAATAACCCCTGCAGGGATTTAGAGGGAGAATTTGTCTCATGTGACCCGTGCACAGTTGAGAAAATTCCTGCCTTTAAGACTGGTCATGAGAGCTAGTGGGAAGTCGTTTCTACCTGGAACGACCTCCAAACCTACTGAAAAGTTGCTGCTGTCTAAAAAAATATTTTATCTTTAAGACAACTCCAGAGTACAAGTGAAAACTTATGTCTACTTATCCTTCAGTGTTTGTACCACCCATGGCTACATGGGTACAATGTGTGAAGCCTATATCTGGTGTCCCCCGCCGTGATATTGCTGGAATATTGCTAAAACTGGCGTAAAATTAAACTCACCAAGTTGTACCACCCATGGAACTGCCTCCAAACCTGCAAAGTTGCGGCTGTGTGAAATTTCGTTCTTCTTTAAGACAAGTCCAGAGGACAAGTGAAAACTTGTTTCCATTAGCCCATAGAATGACCCCCACACCTACTTGAAGTAGACTTAGATTTTGTCTCTGAATATAATATATACTTTGATAGTAACAAATCCCATTTAAATTGAAAAGGAGCTCCAGTGAGTTGGGAGATTCAGAGGAAATCTAGACTTGATTCATTTAGGGCTTTAGCATTGCAGGGAAGGCATGTCAGGAGGGAAAATAATGTTCAAGGACTGTGAGGAAGACTAACTGTGAAGCTACTGCAGCCTAAGAAAGTTCTTTTTCTTTAGACTATTGCAAGACTAATGGATAGGGTCGGCATTGCAGAGAATTTTCATATTGCGATATATTGCGATGCGAAAGCATATATTGCGATACGTATTGCAATATATTGCAATAAATATTTTTAAACAAAAAACCACTTTAATCAGGTTAATACTTAATAAGTTAATATATAAAGCAAAAACACAACAAAATCATTTTGCTTGTTTAAGCTTTAACAACAGCTTTTAATCATGACAAAATAAATATGTAAATAATATTTGGCACAAATTGAAACAAGGAAATATCCAAAGATTTCAGAGTGTTACGAAGTTTTCCGAATGCAAGTAAAATACTGGTTTTCGATCAGCATATCGCAATTCGTATTGTTTTCATGTCTGAACTGGTAAATACCGGTAAACCGGTTATATTGCGCAGCCCTACTAATGGACACATGATTTCATTAGCCCATAGTCTGTAACTATTCTTGCTTAAACCAGACTTACTGTTTACATTTTCCGTAGGTATTATTTTGTTCCTATTTGTAGCAGAATTGAATGATTAGGAACTGGTTCAGAGTTATAGTTCTCGAATGATACATATCTATAAGGAGTAGTGCTGCAACTATCCCACTATGAGATGACATGATACCACAAGTGAGTGAGTTTAACTTCTTTATGTGGCATGTTTAGAAGTTGGAGAATCAGATAAGGACAAAACTTTATGGATGAACAACTTCTTTATTCGGATGAAGCGAGGTTTCGATACATTCGATACAGATTCTTGCATCATTGAGAAGCAAGTATGAGTCAGACTGAAACAAGTTGAAATATATATACACTAAAATAGTTAACAAAAACAACAAGACATTAATACAGAAGCACACTGACTCATACTTGCTTGACAACGATACAAGAATCTGTATCGTAACCTCGCATCATCCGAATAAAGAAGTTGTTTATCCATGAACTTTTGTCCTTATCTGAGTGAGTTTAGTTTTACGCTATTGGGATACGACAACATGTCGTCGCCTGAAAACCAGAGTGTTCTAAGTCACAAAAACCTATTTTCGCGAAATTCGATCTTGAAGTTTAGGACAACAATATCTTCTTCACTTTTCAATCGAATTCTTTCAAATTTTGCACATGCATGTGGCATGTTAAACAGGATCAGAAAATATTAAATTATATGCTCAATCTATTGAAATAAATAAGAAATTCACGAAAGATGATTGGAGATAGAACACTTGACCAAAGAAAATCGTGATTTTTCTCAAAACCAAAGTGTTCTAAGTGTAAAAAATCACAGCTAAAACTCAGCTTTCTTATATTATATCGATATTTGATTGTTATTTCCTTTTTTACCAGGTTGTATTTTTGTCGTTTAAACCTGTTTTTTTCTTTCATAAGAACTATATTTAATTAGATAAAGCAGAAATAAAACATGAGTTCCATCTCCATGTTGAATCACTTCAAAATTGGTAAATCTCGATCCCACCCATTGGATCTTCATGGGTCAATAGACATCATAGAATAGTTGCTAGGTAATCAAAATGACAGAACACTCTGGAGAAGTTAGTAGCTGATGTGTTAATCAATGTATATAGTAAAACAATGACCAAATAATTATTTGACATGTTTGAACAAATTGTCGAGAGTGTTAATTTATCGCGACAACAACCAGTGTCAACATTACTGTCAAATTAGAAATGAAAGATTGAATATTCTATTTTAGTGTTTGCGAATAATGAATTGAATTCTTGAAGGGATACAGTTTGATCACCGAATACACAAGTGTATTGTAACACCCTTAATGAGGAGATTTATTGTTGGATTTTATGTGCCCTCAACACAGTTTGGTTGTTTCCTAGTTTGCTGATAATTAATTTCGAAGGCTTAGATGTGTTGTAAAATTAACAAATGATGATCAAAGGATTACGATGATTGGAAGAGTTGATTGCCTTTGAGGTCAGCCTTGGTTCATATATCCCGAAGGGGCGGTGGGGTAGCCTAGTGGTTACAGTGTTTGCTCGTGAGGCCGAAGACTGGGTTCGATTCCCCACATTGGTACAATGTGTGAAGCCTATTTCTGGTGTCCCTCACCGTGATATCGCCGGAATATTGCTAAAAGTGGCGTGAAACTAAACTCACTCACTCGTATATCCCGTGAAGTGATTGTTTACGTGCTGGAGGGAGATACACTATATTACCTCTTACTAGGGCGTTATAACACTTTCCTCACACCAATAAAATATATACCAATCCATATTAGGAACTTTTTGACATGTTATTGAATACCTTATAGAAATGCGAAATCTATCAGGAGCTGCAATTATATCATTGTACTTGATTGTCAGTTGGGCCATACTAGCTCTCAAGACACTCTATCATGCTGACATTCTAACAATCTTGAGGATATTAGTCATCTGTGGGTCACCATGCTAACATTGTAGTTTTATGAGTTACTGATCAGTTGAACTGACCAGGTGACCCCAGATAAACTCAATATTACACCCTCTCATTGACTCAACTGTCCATATATCATTCATACTTTTTTTATTCTAGTAAATTTGCGAGAGGTTCGTGAAATCCGGTCGGGGAAGAACTCGAAGGAGTTTGACAAGTGGCTTGAGGATTCCCGGAAGGCTGACACCAAGGCATGCTTCACTCTCTTCTACGGCAGTGACTTCAAACTCAAGAGTCTATCTGTTGTTGGTAAGGTTATCATTCAGTGTGAACATATCATCCTTGTGTCTTCCAGGGAATTGTGTCTCATTACTTCTTCTGCTGGGGCTATTGCTGGAGCTGATTAGTGAACATTCCGCTGCTTTTTATAATCATATTTATAATATTTTGAATCAGTGAGACAGAAATGATTAATATTTACTTTAAGGTTCTGGGGACGGTGGGGTAGCCTAGTGGTTAAAGTGTTGCTCATCTCATCGAAGACCCGGGTTCGATTCCCCACATGGGTACAATGTGTGAAGCCCATTTCTGGTGTCCCCGCCATGATATTGCTGGAATATTGCTAAAAGCGGCATTAAACCAAACTCACTCACTCACTAACGCTGATTTGGTAGATGAATATGTATGTAACCCACTTACAAACCATTGTCATGTAGATGAGTATTCCTGATGTTGCATTAAAAACAAACAAACTGGATCAGGACTATGTTACTGTTTCATTACAAAGGTCAGGGACACAGTAACATGTTATATTTGGGATTACACTTTCGCAGTATAGTACAGGTTCTAGTACTTTTGTTAAGTTGAATTCCATCCAGGATTCGAACCCACACTTTCAGAGTCAGGCACCTTATCCCCAGCACAAAGTCAGCTTCCACAGAAACGGATAGTCTATATGAGTGAGTGAGTGAGTTTAGTTTTATGCCTCACTCAGCAATATTCCAGCTATATGGCGGCGGTCTGTAAATAATCGAGTCTGGACCAGACAATCCAGTGATGAACAGCATGAGCATCGATCTGCGCAATTGGGAACTGATGACATGTGTCAACCAAGTCAGCGAAACTGACCACCCTATCCCGTTAGTCGCCTCTTACGACAAGCATAGTCGCCTTTCATGGCAAGCACATGGGTTGCTGAAGACCTATTCTACCCCGGATCTTCACGGGTCATAGTCTGGTGTATTCATGAAAGGCTGTTGAAAACAGGGCACAATCCGGCTCCCTCATCTTGCCATGATGTTTTCCCTCTTAAATTTGTTTCATTTGGAGTACTGACTCCAGAGTGAGCAAATATAAGTTGATGAGACACAGAGATGAGCGAGGTGCACTGAAGTGTAGCGTGAAGTGCTGCTGCTTTCTTGACTTCAGCTGTCGAGGTTTTTAAGATAAAAGAATTATATGAATATTTGATGTATAATGATTTCCCAAGGGAACAAGCTCTGCATTTGAAAATTGAAAACAAACAAGAGCTGTTTTCCGGCTGCTGGTGGAACTGTTTGGTTGCCATGGGGATTGCTGAAGCTTTCTGCTGTGAATTTACTTACTTTGATTGCACTGTTTGTTTGGGTTTGTTAGATTGATATCAACCTGGAAAAATCAAGGAAGGGCCTTAGTCATAAAACTTGAGTTCACTGCAAACAGTATTTGGATTTCAGTTTTCTAAAAAAACCTTCAGATTGCAACTTGATTTGTGATACGCTACCTTTATGTGTCAATTGTGTTTGGATCAACTGCCCCTTATTTCTACTTTCGCATTGCTTCAGTGGATGTTGGCTTAGTATATGGACTACAAAATTATACTGGACAGGGAATTGAGACAAGTAAATACAGTTGCAGATTGTCCTATTATCAATATTTGCATACCAAACATGATGTCCATAGGTAACTCAGCTTGAATTCTGTGATGAACATGTATTGAAACACTGGTTTGTCTGGTTCAAAGGTGTGACGACCGCCTCCGTGGTGTAGTGGTCAGAGCGTCCGCCCGGAGAGCGGAAGGTCGCGGGTTCGATCCCCGACCGCGTCATACCAAAAAGACGTAATAATATGGTACTTGTTGGTCCCTGCCTGGCGCTCAGCATTAATGGGTACAACAAGGACTGGTCGACTCGGAGTCAGTATAATGTGTCTGAGTGGGGTATTCGTGCTTCACTGCGGCATGGTATCTCAGTGGGCTAGCACTATAAAACCAGCTTACGCCTGGGCTAGTACAAGCAGCCGCACATGCACATACACACGCATGCACGTCGTCATATGAGCGAAATATTCTCCAGCACGACGTTAAACCCAATTTCACCTCACCTCCCCTCAAAGGTGTGACCCTTTCATTTAAAGAGAGGCACCTCATCCCCTGGCTTGAAGAAACACCAATGGCTATGGGTTCAGATACCAGCTAGATTCAACCTCTTCACATTTTTTTATTTGTCATTTCCATTCCCATTTCATTACAGATGTAAACCTCTTGTATAGGCATAATATCCAGATCATTTTTCAGAGCAGTGTTAGATATCTCTATCTCTCCCTCTGTCGCGATGTTCTCCCAGTGGAGACTTGGGCCCAAGAACCCATGCTTGTATAAGCCTCTGAGGATTGTACATTGTAGGGTGTACTGTGTGCGGTTGTCCCATCACATATTAAACAATCTTCACTTGTCCAGTACTTGCATTTGATTGCTATTGTCATATTTTCTAACATAAAAATACTGAGAATTTATCGGAAAACCCACTCACAATTTAGAATAATGGATTATCTGTACCTTGTGAATTAATGTCAACAATGGCAGGTAGAGTCTTTGAACGGCATTTGTAAGTGATAAACAGGAAGGCAAGAATTGTCTTTAATGGCAGATAGTCTGTAAACGCATGCACACCTTTGTTGCTAATGCTGTGGCTGAGATGACAGTTGTTGATGTTGCAGCCAACTCCAAGGATGAGTTCGTGGTATGGATGAAGGGGCTGGACTACCTGGTGAGGGACACAAAGGAGGCTTCCTATCAGCTGCAGCTGGAGAGGTGGGTTCGAGTGTAGTGTGGATAGTGGTGTGTTGATAGTGGTGTGTGGATAGTGGTGCAAGTAGTGGTGCATGGATAGTGGTGCAAGTAGTGGTGCGTGGATAGTGGTGTGGATATTGGTGCAAGTAGTGGTGCATGGATAGTGGTGCGAGAAGTGGATAGTGGTGCAAGTTGTGGTGCATGGATAGTGGTGTGGATATTGGTGCAAGTAGTGGTGCATGGAAAGTGGTGCGAGTAGTGGATAGTGGCGTGTGGATAGTGGTGCAAGTAGTGGTGCATGGATAGTGGTGTGGATATTGGTGCATGGATAATGGTGCGAGTAGTGGATAGTGGCGTGTTGATAGTGGTGTGTGGATAGTGGTGCAAGCAGTGGTATGTGGATATTGGTGCAAGTAGTGGTGCATGGATAGTGGTGCGCGTGGTGGATAGTGGCATGTGGATAGTGGTGCGAGTAGTGGTGTGTGGATAGTCTTGCGAGTAGTGTGAATAGTGGTGCGAGTAGTGGTGTGGATAGTGGTGAAAGTAGTGGCATGATCAATGTAGTGTGGATAGTAGTGTGAGTAGTGTAATGTGAATAGTGGTATGAGCAGTATAGCGTCGAGTAGATGGAATAGTAAGTTAACAAGTAATGCCTTATGTTGCATATCCATTAGTGCAACATTTTGCTACCTAAGTTGCAATATTGTCTCTTGACCAAAATGCAGTACTGTATTGGTACATTTCTTCAGTAATAGATCTAAACATTAATACTGCTATCCCTATATTCAAACAGATGGCTGAGGAAAGAATTTTACATTATGGAGAAATCAGGCTCCGAGATGTAAGTATGATAGCTTTATGTATCCTCCTTGTTATCCCCCGCCGCGCGGGCGGTGGGGTAGCCTAGTAGTTAAAGCGTTGGCTTGTCACGCCGAAGACCCGGGTTCGATTCCCCACATGGGCACAATGTGTTAAGCTCATTTCTGGTGTCCCCCGCCGTGATATTGCTGGAATATTGCTAATAGCGGCGTAAAACTAAACTCAGTCAGTCAGTCAGTCCCCCGCCGCGCTAAACGCAAGGCGGGGGATATAGTATTAGGCTCCGTCCGTCCGTCCGTCTGTACGTACGTACGAATTGGAATATCTTAAGAGCCGTTGACTGGATTTTTTTCATATTTGGTACTTAGGTTCATCACAGTAAAAGAAAGGTCCCAGTCAGGTTTGGTGACCTTGACCTTTATTTCAAGGTCACAAGGGGACTTTAACGTTTTAGCCTTGTCAGCGAGATATCTCAAGAACCGTTCACTGGATTTTCTTCATATTCAACAACAAGCTTTATCTAGGAAAGGTGCAGGGCCCAGTCAATTTTGGTGACCTTCACTTAATTTTCAAGGTCATGGTTACACTTTGAAGATTTCAGCATGTTAAGCTGCATGTTAAGCTTGTCAGCGAGATACCTCAAGAATCGTTCACTGGAATTTCTTCATATTCGACATTAAGCTTCATTGAGGGAAGGCGCAGGGCCCAGTTGATTTTGGTGACCTTCACATAATTTTCAAGGTCATGGCGACATTTTGAAGATTTCAGCATGTTAAGGTTGTCAGCAAGATATCTCAAGAACAGTTCACTGGATTTTCTTCATAGACTTTCAAGACTTCCCTTGAATGTTTTTCAATAAGCAATTTCTTTATTACTATTTTTGCATATTTCATACGCTAAGACATTTATGTCGTCAAAATGAGTCTTGAAAATATTTGAACAACTACAGAGCAAGATATCAAGAGAGGTTGACTGGACATGTTTTTGTTGACATTTAACACTTCATCTTAAATTACGACCTTCACTTTCATTACTTTTTCAGTTTGATTTGATAACTTGCGGCGGTTGATTATGTCACCTTAGTGACAATGCTTGTGTTGTCTTTGACATAGTTAATAGCAGTTCAAGTGTGTATATTGGATGCTTATGATGTCGGCCACTGGATTGTCACGTCCTGAATAACAGTCCCATGTCATATAGCCTACATGTTGCTATGTGTGGCCTTCAACAAACACCCAACAAAACAAAAAGGATATCTCAGTTAGTGGTACCACTATTAAACTGATTATAATTTTGTGGAAACCATACCTGTATTGAAGGACACTTGTAAAACTGTGGATTTGGATGTACAATCATTCTTGTGAATGAGATATGCTTGCATTCCGTACATATGCTCGTACAAAAAAGGGAGGGTAATTTACGATTTTTTCATCGGATTTTGTAAGGATAAGAGATTGAAACATGTTAGAAGACACGTGAACTTTCACAATTAAAAATATGGATGAGTATTGCAAGTCACAATTGTAGATACATATAGTGACCTCCCCACATGTGTACAATGTATGAAGCCCATTACTGGTGTCCCCTGCTGTGATATTGCTGGAATATTGCTAAAAGCGGCGTAAAACTAAACTCACTCACACATATAGTGGCTAGATTGTGTCATGTCCAGATCTATTGGTAACATGAAAGTGAGCCTCCCCCAATGCTAGCATAATGCAAGTCATATTTGTAATATACGTACACAGAAACATGTGGCCAATAATCACTGTCAGTGAAACTGCGTTGACATTATATTGATCCTTTAGGATGAGTTATTAACCAACATTGTGAGTGAGTGTAAGTCGATTGCATCAGCATTCTTTCAGTCATATTGTAATGGGACCAAGTATTGACATATTGACAGGTGACTCACAAATATACAGGGATGAGAATTTTCTGCGAATCCGCGGATTTGATCGAGCTGAGGTCATTCTTGTGAATCGTCTAAACTTGCGGTCCCCAAAAAACACCGGCTTATTTTCCTCTCTTTTCACTCACACCCATTGTCATCCCTGAATATAATACAATACAGAGGAGCAAATTAGTTAGAATTATTATAAAAGAGCAATAATATTGGGCCAAAAGCCATCATCAACTACAAACTTGTACAACGAGATTGTACTGATATGCATTGTATACGATCTGTCGCAGTGTGTACACACTATATTGTTGGCTGTGTGTTTCAGAGTGACCCTGAAGAATGTGAAGGCATGGCTTCCCAGGATCAACTACAAGATGTCAACCAGCAAACTCCGAGAGACTTTCCAGGTAGGCAGTGTTCATGAATAGTGTCTGACCCTCTGACAAATCCGGCAGATTCGGCAAAGGTCTGATAGAACTGTACAACCCGTCAGCCCCAGTGTCTGATTGTATATTTCACGATGACTTTGACTGAAGTTGTTAAAAGTGACATGTGACACTTGTTTGCTGTTTATAAATCTTATGTTTGTTAATAATTTCAATGCCAATTATAAGAAATGTTAAATCTGAAATGTGTGTTTAATTATATTCTTCTGTGAATTTTCAATGGGTCAGACAGACATCTGAAGCTTACAGGACCCAATGTCCTGTTACTTTGAAACACCTTTCGTGAACACTGGGTAGGCACTGTACAAATCATGGTGGAATCCTGACAGAATAGATTCTCATCAGCATTGTCGCTTTCTCCAGGGACAGATGTTAGAGCAGATACTGGGGTAGAATGGGTTTCCCCTGTCCAAGCTTGTCCACACTCTATATACTGGGGTAGAATGGGTTTCCACTGTCCAAGCTTGTCCACACTCTATATACTGGGGTAGAATGGGTTTCCGCTGTCCAAGCTTGTCCACACTCTATATACTGGGGTAGATGTTTTTTCCGTCTCCAATGTTTCTCTCCCTAGTTTATACTGGTTTTAATGGAGTATCGTTCAGTTGTCTCCCTTGTATTCCCAATACACCACAGTTGTCTCCCTTGTATTCCCAGTACCCCACAGTTTTCTCCCAAGGAAACCAATGTCAAATACAATACCTCATGAGACCTCATTTGTGTTGCAGGAGGTTGACTCAAGTGGTAAAGGAGAGATTGTGTTTGAACAGTTCTCCTGCCTCTACCACCGGCTTGTCCATGTGAAGAGTGTAAGTACAGCTGTAGACAACCGGCATTGTTTAACAATTGATAATTGCAGCTAACTGAACAAAATTCCGAACCTCAGTCGTTAATTATATTCTATACTTCATTTGGAACGTTTTTACATCTTTGATATGTTTTTTTGCCTTGACTTCAGATTGCGACTGAACACTTCGAGAAGTATTTTGAATCCTTTAGTGAGGAAAGGTAGGTGTATTAAAAATTGTATTCACCACAATTGATAATGCCTGTTTGTTTTCTTGAAGGGATGCAATGTAGGTTTGATTTTTCTAAACACTATAACATACTGTTGCTGTTTTATTTAAAATACTGCATCCCTGAGAGGGCCGTGTACACACAACTCAAGCAAATGGAGTGGCCTTGTTCCCTTTCTGTGATGCAGTACCCATTAGAGACCCTGGTTAAAGATGTGCTAAAGACGCTATGGCTCATTGTCAGTGTCCATCAAAGTGGATTAGCTAGTCAGGTGACTGGGTAGAATGGAAGTCATTGTAATCCATTGGAGGTGGACACTACTCAATGTCTGGACAAGAATGGACTCTCATGATATAAGACTGCCTCCGTGGTGTAGTGGTTAGAGCGTCCACCCGGGAGAGAGGAAGGTCGCGGGTTCGATCCCGACCGCGTCATACCAAAAGACGTTAAAATATGGTACTTGTTGGTCCCTGTCTGGCGCTCGGCATTAATGGGTACAAGGACTGGTCGGCTCGGAGTCAGTATAATGTGTCTGAGTGGGGTATTCATGCTTCACTGCGGCATGGTATCTCAGTGGGCTAGCACTATAAAACCAGCTTAAGTCTGGGCTTGTACAAGCAGCCGCACATACACATACACATTCATGCACGTCGTCATATGAGCGAAATATTCTCAAGCACGACGTTAAACCCAATTTCACCTCACCTCACCTCATGATATAATTGGAATAGGTCTTTGACATAAAATGAGAAACTAAAAAAGATTGACCGTTGTTTGCTTTTGAACAAAATGAATTACTTTCAGAATTTTTATTGTGCCTTGATCAATTCTTTAACAGGAGGATGACAAGTGAAAGATTCCAGCAATTTTTACTCGAAGAACAAAAGGTGAGTAAAGTGTGTTACATTAATTTCTTGTACACATGTTGATGGGAATCTGATATTAGATAAAACTGTCATCCAATGTTTAACATTGCATTCCAGGTCAGTGATTGGCTTCCATGGTAAAGAACTAAGGTCAATTTATGGCATACTACTTTCCTAATTGTAAATCATTGAAAAGTGTCTCGTACTTCAGTCTTCAGATTTCACATACTTCTAAGGTGAAACAGGGGCGGTGGGGTAGCCTAGTGGTTAAAGCGTTGGCTCGTCACGCCGAAGACCCGGGTTCGAATCCCCACATTGGTACAATGTGTGAAGCCCATTTCTGGTGTCCCCTGCCGTGATGTTGCTGGAATATTGCTAAAAGCGGTGTAAAACCAAACTCAGTCAGTCAGTCTAAGGTGAAACATTATAATTTTAGAACGTTTAAGAAAGTTTGTTTGATCGGGTTTTAAACAGTGTTTGCTTGTTAGATATTGTTTTAAATAACTTGTGTTATAAATACTAAGTATATGGGTGTAAGAGGATGTGAAGGAGAACAAAATGTGTACAACAAACAGATTCAGATCCTCTAGCAATTCCTAAGTAGTGTCAATATAATATTCCCCTAATCCATGTTTTATCCCCCACAGTATCCCATTTAGTATGAACTGCCTCCATGGTGTAGTAGTTAGAGCGTCATACCAAAAGACGTTAAAATATGGTACTTGTTGGTCCCTGCCTGGGGCTCGGCATTTATGGGTACAACAAGGACTGGTCGGCTCGGAGTCAGTATACTGTGTCTGAGTGGGATATTCATGTTTCACTGCGGCATGGTATCTCAGTGGGCTAGCACTATAAAACCAGCTTCAGTCTGGGCTAGTACAAGCAGCTGCACATACACATACACACGCATGCACGTCGTCATATGAGCGAAATATTCTCAAGCACGACGTTAAACCCAATTTCACCTCACCTCACCTCACCCATTTAGTATGAATAATATGACATAAATACAAGTACTATGTAGAGATTTGAATTTTATTGCACCATATTATCGGGATATGTATGATTTCATGATTCTCTTGTTTCATCTCTAATCAACACCTAAAGATCAGCGTTAGTATTGGTCTTCAGTAACCCTTAGCTTGTCGTAAGAGGCGACTTACAGGATAACTTGGTTATCGCTGACTTGGTTGACACATGTCATCGTATCCCTAGATTGATGCTTATGATGATCACTGGATTTTCTGGTCCAGAGTTGATTATTTACAGACCACCATCATGTTTCTAAGTGCAGCGTTTAGCAACAAACAAACAATAAACAAACATCTCTAATTGTGTGTTGTCAGGATGTGAACGCTACTGACATCGGCTACGTGAGGAACCTGATGACAACGTTCCTGGACGAGATGGTGCGCGTAGCTGGTGGACTCTACTTCACAGAGATAGAGGTCAGTCATTGTGGTCAGGGTGCGGACCTAATCATCTTTTCCCATTTGTGTAGATCAATAATCATCATGGATTGTTTACAGACATTTATTACCCACAAGGTCAACGTATGGGTAGTTGCATACTAATCTCGTACGTCACACGAATGTCGTATCGCGTTGACCTGTGTCGTAACGACTTGACCTGCGATTCTAACGATGTGATTGGATAACCGATGACTTCTCAATTAGGTCACATTCTGACGTAACTATATTTTCATTCATAACAAACATGTGAATTCATTCATTCTGCAACTTAAATGCATTGTGGGAATGTAATCATTGCGAACGTTGCCGTGTCGCTGTTTAATTGTGAGTCGAACTGAGACATTATATCCGTCGAAAAACATAAACGTAATGTTTCTACCAGTGATGTTAGCCCGAATGAAGTAACTGGAAACGAGGTGCTATGGAGTAGTTTATTGTAGGATGCTGTACGAGGCGATGACAACTGACATGCATCATGACGTCAGTTACCAAGGCAGTGACGTCATTACAGTGTGACGTCATGCAAATATTGTACTACAGTACAAAACTCTTCCTCAACCTCTTTATGAAACCGGTTTCAGTTTGAAACCAAAAACATAACAAACTTACGCTCTATTGTCAAATTAATGCATGTAAGACGTGGGTAATAAATAAAATACCACACTCGGTCTCATTACATATGCATTATACGAAACTTTCGCTCAGCCAGATACCACAGGAAGGACACTCGTTTCGTATAATTCGTATGTAATGAGACCTCGTGTAGTATTCTCTATATATCATATGCTGGAATATTACTGAATGTGGCATTAAACAACAAACGTACGCTCAAAGAGGATAATGCTTGAAGCAGATGTCATAGTGCTTGATTGTAAGGTTGTCATGTTTAGTTAATTCATGCACACTGCACTGAGGTAATAATTTAAAAGGTGGTGGAAAAATTGTCCTGCATGTTTTTCTATATTCTTCCAAAATACAAGCTCCTTGCAACCATGTGGATTGAAGATGATATTCTTGTGTATATCTGTGTTTTTCAGTTTGAAGACTTCTTGTTCTCACCTCACAATACAATATGGGACTCAAGGAACGACGCCATCACCCATGATATGAACGCCCCACTCTCTCATTACTGGATAGCATCATCTCATAATACGTGAGTATATTCCCTAAAATACTCATCCCCTATTTTTTCATGGTGTTGTGTACAGTAGGTGAAATAGTCTCAAAATATGGCTGGCCAGGTAGGCTTAATACTTGCTTGCCAGTGTTTTATTTCGTTAACATAAATTGTGACAGTTAAGACCCGTGAAGATCCGGGCTAAAATTGATCTTCAGTAACCCATGCTTGTCGTCGGAGGCGACTGACGGGATCGAGTGGTCAGGCTCGCTGACTTGGTTGACACATGTCATCGTATCCCAATTCCGTAGATCGTTGCTCATGCTGTTGATCACTGGATTGTCTGGTGCAGACTCAATTAGTTAAAGACCGCCGCCATATAGCTGGAATATTGCTGGGTGCGATGTAACATTGAACTCACTCACCCAACTCACTCAGCTAACTTTTCTGGATTGTCACTAGGGATGCCACGATACATCGATGCATCGATACTTTCTCTAAGATGATACAATTATCAATACATTCAAAACTGTTTTGAAAGTATCGTTTAAATATGTTTATGTATCGTTTACATTTTGCAATTGCATCATGTTTTTTGATGTTATGAGAGTTATGAATGATTAATTTTCATGCTCAAAAATGGGAAGTTGGAACTTTTTTATCTCTGAGAATAAAAAATGCTTGATCTTTTCATGAACAGTTATAAAATATTAATGTTCAAAATGTAACTTAATTTACGCAATAATGCAGCGAAAATAGGTATCGTGATACGTATCGAATCGTGACATGGGTATCGTGATAGGTATCGATTCATCAAACTTATGTATTGTGACATCCCTAACTGACACTTAAAATTTCGGGAGCAAGTCGAGCTGGAGAAATTTCAGAATCATTATCCAAGTTGAAATTTTGCAATGACAAATTAACCATAGATATATGAAAGCACTGTTTCAGGCCATCTCTCATGTTGTTTCAGATACTTAACAGGTGATCAGTTGTCCAGTGAATCATCTGTTGAAGCCTATGTCCGGTGTTTGAGAATGGGATGCAGGTGCCTTGAGTGTAAGTGGATTTTCAGGAATTCACATAAGGACTCAAGCTTAGTGTATTTAGGTAATAAAAATCCAAAAGGGGTTGTTTATTAGGAAGAGGTTTAAATTCACACAAAACAGTCAATCAAGATGTGTTGTCATGCGTTGCAAACACTGCCTTGCTTCCCGGGATCATGATGAATTGGGGAGGGTGGGAGGGACACTCTGCATGCTACATATTTCTGATGGGGAGTGCTTATTAGAGAGGGAGCGCTACATACATCGAATACGGTAATTGTCATAACATGAAGCGGAGTGTTTTGATGGTTCAATCCCATCTCATAGGCGGCTCCCTTTTTTTTTGGGGGGGGGGGGGGAGCAGAGTTTATTAAATGACCATTGAAACTCAGAGTTTATTAAATGACCATTGAAACTCTTGTGAAAATGAACTGAGCACTCCCCTTTCTCCAAAAGCTGTGTCAACCCCTGAATCCCCAGGCTGTGTCATGCCATAGGCCCTTAAAAGATGCTACTTGTTGTTACCTTGGTGCTCAGCATTGAAGGGACAAAACAAGCAGTGATCAGTTGACATATGCCGCTTGATTGTTTGGTCAGATTTTTGGCATGATGCTTTCTTTCAGTTTGAATAGTTGTGTCTGTTAGGCAATGAACAAATACATCGTTGAAAGATACTTGTCTGTATGGTAGACAAAAATCGACATAATTCTGTTTGTGGTGTTTTAGTGGACTGTTGGGATGGCCCTGACAGTCATCCATACATCTACCATGGCCACACTCTCACGTCAAAGATCAAATTCCTAGATGTTCTCAAAGTGATCAAGGAACATGCTTTCTCAACATCAGCGTAAGTAGACAACCATTTACCATGTCACTAAACTATTCACCATGTCATGTATCCTATCGCTATGTCATTCATACATTCACCATGTTTCTTGTCCAATCACAATTTGTTTCAAACATTCTTCATATTCATCCATTCACCATGTTTTCTCAGCCATTCTCCATGTCTTTTACCCGTCACCCAACACATCACTCGTCCACCTTGTTGTACCATTCTGACCGATGTACCTCTGTTATATTGACCGCCTCTGTGGTGTAGTGGTTAGAGTGTCCGCACGGAGAGCGTAAGGTCGCGGGTTCGATCATCGACCGCGTCATACCAAAAGACGTTAAAATATGGTACTTGTTGGTCCCTGCCTGGCGCTCGGCATTTATGGGTACAACGAGGACTGGTCGGCTCGGAGTCAGTATAATGTGTCTGAGTGGGGTATTCATGCTTCACTGCGGCATGGTATCTCACTATAAACCAGCTTGAGTCTGGGCTAGTACAAGCAGCGGCACATACACATACACATACACATACACATACACATACACACGCATGCACATCATTATATGAGCGAAATATTCTCAAGTACGAAGTTAACCCCAATTTCACATCACCTCACCTACCCTGTCACCCAACACATCACTCGTCCACCTTGTTGTACCATTCTGACTGATGTACCTCTGTTATATTGCAGGTATCCACTGATTCTGTCCATAGAGAATCACTGTAGTTTAGGGCAGCAGAGGAACATGGCTATGGCATTCAGAGAAACATTTGGTGGTAAGGATGACCTTTCCATTTCCTTTCATATAATTAGTTTAACAAAACAGCATACTTTCCATATTATAAATTGTAATAATAACAATACAGAATCATCTACTATGCGTCAAAATGTTTTAGATTTAGGGCTTTAGTATGTAGAGTTAGTGAGTGAGTTTAGTTTTATGCCGCTTTTAGCATTATTCCAGCACTATCACGGCGGGGGACATCAGAAATGGGCTTCACACATGTTACCCATGTGGGGAATCGAACCCGGGTCTTCGGCGTGACGAGCGAACGCCGTTACCACTAGGCTACCCCACAACCCCTTTAGTATGTAGAAAATAGGTTGTGCATGTACAACCAGTGTCACTCACTGTTATATATATCACAATACATTTGCAAACAATAATGTTACAAATGTAGACTATTCATTGAAGCTCCTCTGACCTACCTTCCAGATAATCTTCTAATCGAGCCCATCAGCAAAGATGCAATCTCGTTACCGTCCCCAGCACACTTGAAGAATAAGATTATTTTGAAGGTGAGTGTTAAGGGAGCACTTGAATGTTGCTGTCAATGTGGATTTATACCCCTGGTTGGGGTGCGAGTGAGAATTGTATCCGTTTGGCTAACATGGAAATGTAAAGTGGGTGAGAGGTTTTGGTTGGTCAGTGTAGAATATTATCTCTTGGTATTGTATCATGTCGGTTGGCATTGAATTGTATTGTGTAGGTTGGCATGGAAATGTTTAGGTTGGTCGGCATGGAATTAAATTGGGGGGTCAAGATAGAAATGCCTTGGTTGTTTCACAGTAAATATGTTGACATGACGTCATGAAAATTTATCGGGGTGGTCAGTCAGGGTGACCAATTGATTGTCAGAAAGTGTGGATTATTCTGCATAATTTTTGTTGACTGGTTTTCCTGGTCCTGACTGAAGTACTGGTCCTCACAGGCCTCTAGAAAATAGTGGAAATATTGGTTATAGAAGTATGTAGCAAGGAACAAATAGGACAAATAAAATCCAAAGATATAGATATTTGATGTTCCCTTCCTCCCTCCGTCTTTCATCTGTTTTCTCTTTGCGGGCAGTGTAAGAAGCTTCCCTCCTTCTCCCTGACTCCCTCCTTCAATCACTCATTCACAAATACCACCCAGCTCGTCAGTCTCCCTCACTCTTCCCTCCCTCCTTCTCTCTCACCCACCCAACCTTCCTCCCTCACCCTCCCACCAACACATTTCATTCCATCCAGCATTAGTTAATCTGTGTCCTATGTCTACTTGCAGCATAAGAATCACCCCTCCTCCTCCCTCACTCTTCCCTCCCTCCTTCCTCACTCCCCCCTTCCTCACTCCCTTGCTCAACCCCCACCTGCCCCCAACACACTCAATTACTCCACCCAGCCTCAGTTAACCTGTGTCCTGTTGTCTGCTTGCAGCATAGGAATCTCCTCTCCCTCGCTCAACCACCCAAATCTCACTTAATCGCTCACTCCACTCAGATCTCCAGCCTCAGTTAACATGTGTCTTAATGTCTACTTGCAGCCTACCACCCACCCTCCCTCCCCCTCGCTCACCCACCCAAATCTCACTCAATCACTCACTCCACCCAGGTCTCCAGCCTCAGTTAACATGTGTCTTAATGTCTACTTGCAGCCTACCACCCACCCACCCTCCCTCCCTCGCTCACCCACCCAAATCTCACTCAATCACTCACTCCACCCAGGTCTCCAGCCTCAGTTAACATGTGTCTTAATGTCTACTTGCAGCCTACCACCCACCCTCCCTCCCTCGCTCACCCACCCAAATCTCACTCAATCACTCACTCCAACCAGATCTCCAGCCTCAGTTAACCTGTGTCTTAATGTCTACTTGCAGCCTACCACCCACCCTCCCTCCCTCGCTCACCCACCCAAATCTCACTGAATCACTCACTCCACTGAGGTCTCCAGCCCCAGTTAACCTGTGCCTTGTTGTCTACTTGCAGCATAAGAAGCTCCCTGAGTGGGTAGATGGCAATGAGTGGAAGTACACAGTGTCCAACGATGACAGCAATGTGGACGTGGATCTCAGCTCTTCTGTGAAGAATGGGATGATGTACCTAGAAGACCCAGTCGATCATGTACGGTGCCACTGATTACTCAGATTTACTGTTCCCATGGTTACATCACTACTCTATATAATGTTATATGTTTATTGTTACATGTATTCTAGTTTGTTTAATTGTGTTTCAGACATGGCACCCTCACTTCTTTGTGTTGACCCTCAATAAGTTGTACTACACAGAGGAGACCCAGACGTCAGACATGGACGATGAGAACGATGATGATGACAGTGCATCTATTGAGGTAATGTTGATACAATCTCATAACAGTCTGATGCTTCTCTAGCATGTGAAGGTACGCCCATTGTTTCTATGGGGTTGCAAACTTGACTTGAGAAAGAAGTTTTAGAAAGTCTCCCATATCATTTTAGTTTTGCATATTTATTCTCATCCCAAGTATGTCCTTGTTACCGAATGTTTGGTATGTTTGATTTTATTTACGCAATATATCAGAGCTCCAGCTAAGGTGCCTATTTGCGCAAAATGGATCACTACAATCGAATTAATTTGGAGTCTTTTATGTAGAAATATGCATGAAAAATTGATAAATCCCAATAATGTAACAAAGAGTGTGCAATAACTCAGTGTAGCCATTTCAGCTTACATAGCTGAATGTCTTTACTTATCTTTTCTGACTGAATGAAGGCTTAAGTGAATTATGGACAAATACTACAATGCCATCCGGTAATTCCGCGCACCTAAGCACATCGATCGCAACACGGCAACTAACGTCTCTTATTTTTTTGTGGTTTACGTGACTAAACATGCTGGTATGCATCATATTTACCTAGAAATATAAGTTTTATTGACGACTATAAGATTCTAACGTTGCATTATGCCATACGGTTGACCTTACCGGCGTTCTGACGACATCGCTTGCTGTCCGGTAATTCTGCGCAGCAACTGATGCGCATAACATCCAGCTGGAGATCCGAAGTATGGAAGCGTATTAGGGCCAGATTATTTTCAAAAATCACTTCATCAATGTAAGGAAGAGTGTTTCATATTAAATCCAATTATGAATAATGAAGAAAAGGTTTAAAAGTCTGAAGAAAACGAATTTTCATAAAACTGTCAATTTATCTGTCAATTACTGTTATTTACTTACCTTTAGTGATTAAAAGCCAGTCCCTTGTAGAAATGTCCCGATTTCAAGCGTAAATGTGGTAGCAGACGATGTTTACCTTCGATACGGAAGTACGCTATTGCAGCTGCGAAGAAGAGAATTACCGGACGCGCGGAATTACCAATGGACTGGATTCGAGGGGCTTGAATACATGGGTCGCCTTGAGGGTGGACGTCGACGGGCGGAGGAACTCCTCCATCAGTACAGCTACCTCGGAGATGGTACTTTCCTCGTCAGGGAGAGTGACACCTTTGTTGGAGACTTCTCTTTGTCCTTCTGGTACGTTGTATTCGTTTCTTGACCCACAATAAAGTGATCTGACGACACCATTATTTCCAGACTGGTGTAATAAGGTTGGAATGATGCAGATTGTGGTGTTCATTAACTTGCTCTCACTCTCTTGAAGTTACTGCTATCCACACAATCATCTATGTTGTAGGCGCCAGGGTAAGGTGAACCACTGTCGTATCCGATCGCGACAAGAGAGAGGTCAGGTGAAGTACTACTTGATAGACGCTGTGACCTTTGACTCCCTGTACAGCCTCATCACCCACTACCGACAGTTCCCGCTCCGAAGCTCCGACTTCACTATGATCCTCAAGGAGCCAGTACCACAGCCACAGAGTCATGAGGGCAAGGAGTAAGTAGGATCATAGTATAGTCAGGGTCATTGCCCAGCTTTATGTGTCATAGGTGCTGCTTCTTTATACTACAGAGTCATAGACTTAGCTTGTTGGTTAGAGCGTCCGCCCGGAGAGTGGAAGGTCGCAGGTTCGATCCCCGATCACGTCATACCAAAAGACGTTACAATATGGTACTTGTTGGTCCCTGCGCTCGGCATTAATGGGTACAACAAGGACTGGTCGGCTCGGAGTCAGTATAATGTGTCTGAGTGTGGTATTCATGCTTCACTGCGGCATGGTATCTCAGTGGGTTAGCACTATAAAACCAGCTTCAGTCTGGGCTAGTACAAACAGCCGCACATGCACATACACACGCATGCACGTCATCATATGAGCGAAATATTCTCAAGCACAACGTTAAACCCAATTTTACCTCACCTCACTTAGCTTGTTTGACGTCAGAAATTCATCATCTACTCCTTTATACAACACAGAATCATAGACATTCCATCTAAAGAGAGTTGCATCTCTTCGGCCCTCAGAAGCCTATCGTGAGCTTGGAGATTCTAGGTTTATCAACTGCAACCCATGATCATTGGTTTCGACATTGGTCTGAGAGATAGACATGCATTAAACAATTCAAGCTGACTTGTAATATAGCTGAAGTATACTGATCAATGTAAATACAGTGGAAGCCCTCTGAAGCAACATTCGTTGGGACCGGCCAAAAGTACCGGTATAGAGGGCGTGCCGGTTTAGAGAACTTTTCCCTTTTCAACCTGAGAATGATCTTCCGTGTGTTGTAAAATACGACTGAACAACGTGTTGATAGTCATCATATTCTTTATTCATCAATTAGATAACATCAGAAAAATACAACACAAATGTACGTGTACAGTACAGTTTGGATTTACGTTATAATTCATGAGGTGACCAAGTCAGTAAGTGTAATAGACACACCGGATTAGAGGGCGTGTATATGATCATAATTTAATTAGCTTCTGTCGGGACCAAATTCTAGTGCTGATATTGAGAGCATGCCGGATTGGAGGGCTGCCGGTTTAAAAAGCTTCCACTTTACTGATCTTTCACTCAAACTAAGTTCAATCCTTGATGTTTGAAGTTTTATGTGTGATGTGTGTCTACAGCTGGTACCACGACAACATGAGTCGGGCGGAGGGAGAGGACCTATTGAAGCGGATGCCTCACGATGGCTCCTTCCTGGTTCGACACAGTGGGACTGACCAGTACTCGTACGCTATATCCTTCAGGTAGGTTGTTGTGCGACACAGCGGGACTGATCAGTACTCGTACGCTATATCCTTCAGGTGAGTTGTTGTGCGACACAGCAGGACTGATCAGTACACGTATGCTATATCCTTCAGGTGAGTTGTTGTGCGACACAGCGGGACTGACCAGTATTCAATCGCCGTACGCTATATCCTTCAGGTAGGTTGTTGTGCGACACAGCGGGACTGACCAGTACTGTCTACTAACAAGAATAATGTGACCGTTTGAAGTTGTACTAGTCCATAGATACCTTTGGCATAAACAAACCTTGGCCTAGAATTTTTAAGCTCTCTTAGCGCTAAGATAGTCGTAAGTTAATGTTAATGTATGGCACTTACGGCTATCTTAGCGTTAAGAGAGCTTCGAAAATCTAGGCCCTGGTCCAGGCTAGCCAGCTTGTGCTTGTTCTTACAAGAGACTAGAGTCCTTAGAAGGTCCAGGTTAGAATTGATCTTCAGTAACCCATGCTTGTCATAAGAGGTGACTAACAGGTCGGGTGGTCAGGCTCACTGACTTGGTTGACACATCATCGGTACCCAATTGTGTAGATCGATGTTCATGCTGTTGATGACTGGATTGTCTGGTCCAGACTCAATTATTTACAGACCACCGCCATAGAGCTGGAATATTGCGGAGTGCAGCGTAAAACTAAAGTTACTCACTCACTACAAGAGACTTTGATCAGTTGTGAAACAGGCTGGGCAGTGGGGTAGCCTCATGGTTAAAGCGTTCTCTCATCACACCAAAGACGGGGGTTTGATTCCCCACATGGGTACAGTGTGTGAAGACCATTTTTGGTGTCCCCCTACCGTGATAATGCCAAAAGCAGCGTAAAACCATACTCACTCATTCGATGTGAAACAGGCCGCAGTTTGTCAGAAGTCCTCAGAACAGACTTCTAATGTTTCAGGGCGGAAGGCAAGATCAAACATTGCCGGATCAAGCAGGAAGGAAGACTGTTCCTCATCGGCAACGCTCAGTTCGAGAGTCTGGTGGAGCTGGTCTCATACTATGAGAAAAACGCGCTGTACAAGAAGATGAAGTTGAAACATGCTGTCAATCATGAGGTTGTCGACAGGCTGGACATGGTGAGAACTTCAACATATGTGTTTAGGAAATATCAGAATCTGATGCAAATTGTTGATGTCAACTAAAATGTGTCATGAATTATGACTGATAATACATACCTATTTAAATAGTAATAAGATAATTCATGATATGATGTGATGCTGCAAAATTTAATGAAGACATATTGATAATTTATGATAAAAGGGCTAGAATTAAGTAAGAATATGTAAATTAGTACTGCATAAATAGACAGATATACACCTTTTTAAGTTATATTCCCATTTTCTAATATTCAGTTGAAAATGTCATAGTTATGATTTTAATATGAAACTGATATTATATTACATATGTACAGTGAAGCCTCGTTAATCCGGGACGGTTGCGTTTCTCAGTAAATTCGTCCGGATTGCGAATAGTCCCGGACTACTGAATCAAGACCCAAGTTGCTTCCCTAAGAATTACAAAAACGACACGAATCTGGATAAAACAAATAAGCATTTAATGTAAAGCTTAATTCATCACATCAATAATTTTACCGAGTGACATCCGCATGTTGATCCGACGTGTCTGATCACGTCCTTCCTCAGCACAGATGAGGTAATGTCTAACAAGCGATCTATTGTAGTATGCCTTGAATGTCCGAATTATTCCTGCATCCATCGGTTGAATATGAGACGTGGTATTTGGTCACACTTGTGACTTGCAGCATTGTCGTAAAGCAAAATCACTTTTAGTCCACGTGACCGGATCTGTCTGTCAAAGTACATTAACCAATCACAAAACAGTTCACTTGTCATCCACGCCTTTGTATTGTGGTGTCAATCAAAGTGTAAATGTACAGTATCTTCAGTCGGGAGCTTTTTATGTCTAATTAAAACAACAACCCAGTTGGCCAGTTAATTAAGTAAACATCGCCGGGCGGTGTTGTTACGGTTCGTGAACACGACTTACAGCGTCCGGACTGTGAAGCAATTTACTGTTTATTTTACTGATTGGTGACAGCTACTTACCGTCCGGTTCCGGAAACCGAATTTCCGGATTATCGAGGCAAATTATATAGGCATAGATTGGTAACAAGCTGAAATCGCCCGGGAGGCGAGACTTCCGGATTATCGGAGTCCGGACTAACGGGGCTTCACTGTATGTGTAAAATGATGAATTGCCAGAGGTCGATGTGCAAGAATCCAGATGCCAAATTGAGTTATTTCGGTTTCAGTGTGAGTTGTTCTCCTTTCAGTACGAGTTCCTTTTTAAGTATGAGTTATTCCCCTTTCATTGAATTATTCCCCTTTCATTATTAGGTTTCCCTGTTTGTTATGTTATTTTCCTATTTAATGAAATTATTTCCCTCAATTGAGTCATTCCCTCTTATTTTGAGTTATGCCCGTTCATTGTGAATCCAACCCCTTTTTTAAATTAGTTCCTCTCCTTTGTGGTATGAGTCTATCCCCCAACCCCTTTTTTTAATTCATTACACCACTCTCTCTCTCAATCTCGACCTTGATCTCTCTCTCTTGACCGCCTCTTTGGTGTAGTGGTAAGAGCGTCCGCCCGGAGAGCGGAAGGTTGCGGGTTCGATCCCCGACCGCTTCAAACCAAAAGACGTTAAAATATGGAACTTGTTGGTCCCTGCCTGGCGTTCGACATTAATGGGTACAACAAGGACTGGTCGGCTCGGAGTCAGTATAATGTGTCTGAGTGGGGTATTCATGCTTCCTTGCGGCATGGTATCTCAGTGGGCTAGCACTATAAAACCAGCTTCAGTCTGGGCTAGTACAAGCAGCCGCCCATACACATACAGACATATGCACGTCGTCATATGAGCGAAATATTCTCAAGTACGACGTTAAACCAAATTTCACCTCACCTCACCTCTCTCTCTCTCTCTCTCTCTCTCTCTCTCTCTCTCTCTCTCTCTCTCTCTCTCTCTCTCTCTCCCTCCCGTTCAGCTCTCACCAAAACTCATTTTGAGTTCTTCCCCTTTAGTATGAGTTATGCCCCTTGCATTACGAGATGTACCCTGTTGATAATGAGGTGTTCGACTTTCAGGCCCCCGATGAGACAGGGATATATGGCACACCAGATTTATATATCAATCCCAATGATTTCACAACCAAGGTAACTGAACTGACGGTGCCGGTCAGCTTGTGGTGGTAGTTTGCATGTCATATGTTATTGTGGGCTGGTTCACCGCTTTATTAATACCTTGTTTTCTTTCAGCTACTTACATCCACTCATTTCTAGTTTACACAATCTGATCTTTGAATTTTCATTTGGTCTCTGAAGAAAGCTACATTAGGTCATATGCTGCTGAGTATTCAAAATACTTATAATAAGTTCAGACTTTGAAATATGGCGTTCAATTTCTTGAATAATTCCAAAAACGCAAATAACATAAGAAAGAACACACTTTGAAAATGAAATACCCACTCAACATTCATAATAACCACTCCAAAAAAATACAGTGGGTACAGTACCCACATGAGCTAAATCTTATCTAGAGCTCTTTACACCATATCCAGATTTTGGCACTTCTGTTTGGCCAAAAAGATCCCTCGTATCACCGTATTCATACTTTTTAAATGATTCTGTCTGAGTGTGACACAGATATATGACTTTTAGCAGTTCTTCAGCAAATGACAGATTTAGAGAACAGATATTGCACAGTAGCTGATCACTTTGCTCATGACCGTGAACATGCTACCTGTCTTTCTGGCAGGGATTTATCTTTTGTTCTGGACGAAGTGCCCTTGGCAAACAAATCAGGATAAAACAATTATTTTTTTCAAAATTGTGAAATTGATTAAAGGTTTTTAATTCTGAAATTTGGAGTTATTTGAATAAAGGTTCATCATATTCATCATGTTTGAAGGATTATTGGTTGTGTAAGGACTGAAACAGGAGTCAGTGTTCAAGGTTGTATAGTTTAACTGAACAGCCTCTGAACAGATCCACATAAATCCCTGCTAAGTACAAAGGATATGCATGAAATGTTTTGCACTTGAAATGTTTTCTAGACAGCATGTTGTCACAGTGAATGGAGTTTCAGCTACAGCCAAATATGTGGTTCCAATTCCAGAAATGATTCTTCCTGAAGCTTTGCCATCAGTGTAAGATACAAAACCCAAACCGTTGATTTCGTGTTAGATGGCATTAGTTTCTTAGTAAAGTATTCTGTTGCACATCTGAATTTGTTGAAAAAGCAGAAATTAACTGAAGTTTAAATTAACTCATGTTTACAAATGTTATCACATTGATGAGAAGTCAAAGACAGCTTATCCCAAACCATTTTGTGTTTGGGTTTACAGTTTAGATATACCACCTAACATTTGCTAAGGAACAAACTTATCTTTAGTCAAATCATGCTCCTTGGCAATTGTTGAGTAGTATATGGTTATTTTGATCATCTCTTGTTTGTCCTTGATTATAAGCTGTATTTTGAAGTAACCATGACAACATACTTTTCATTTTGGCTGCAGTATCTTGGCATATTGACCGTATAATCTAGAAAACAAGATTCCGATATGAGTGGCGTTAATTTGTTCCCAGTTTGGCTATATGTCCTGTGAGAGATGTCGGAAACTTTTCAGAGAATTGGAACCACATATTTCTCTGTTGGCCTGAATAGATTTAACTCTTGAAGATTTGAACAGCTGGTGATTGTGCTGTGGAAATAACGGTATAACCTATACTAACCATCAGCTGCTCTCACTACTGACGGCTTTTCTAGGCTGCCGATGATGACGACGCGACAGTTTACGAGTCGTGGGTATACCATCTTCCCAATAGTTATAGGTCCAAGGTAAGGATGAAGCAACAGACAGTGCCACTCATATAGGCACAGTTATATGTGTGTCATATGTATCATAAAATATTTCATAATAAGAAAATGTAGTTAAAAATATTGTAGAAATGGAAAACTTTTTTTTATAGTTTTTTCTTTAGACCTCCTCAGAGGATGCTATCTGCTGCAAATCTTTGGTAAAATTCCCAAATATGAGATACCAATATTGCATTTACAGTTTTGGTGACTCTCATGTTAATATATAATGTGAAGATATGACTGAAGTCTTCTGGGCTTGGTGGCCCATTTATGTAAGGTTCTACACTTTGCTGTGTAGAGTTGCCTCCCTTGGGCAAGCAAGGATTCTGTGAACGAGGGTTCAAAGCTCAATTTGCCTAAATTTTTGAACTTATCCTATCCCACGGTATGCACCTCTCTTCTTCTTCACGACCATGTGTGGAAAGCGTGCTGTAGGCTAAGTTGAATCAAATCTTACTGGCCTCTGACCACCCTGACCTCTGCCCCCACTCCGATATCAGCACCTGTCAATCATCTCTGTAAGCGTGCAGCTTCGCTCAGATGATCACGCGTGACTACCTGTGCCTGTCATTCTCTTTCTTGTCGCTACGTCGTGTGGACGATGTGCTTGTCTCTTAGAAAGTTTGATTGTTGTTTCAACATGGGTAAATCGAATCGTAATGGTTCTAAGAAGCGCAAACATTGTGACAATTGTAACAGTAATTTCTCGGCGGCAGATCCACATGCTTTATTCGTAGATTGTTTAGGTCGTTGTGATTGGTCTCAACGTTGCACTTTTTGTGCTGGCCTTGACAACAATTGCTTTCAATGCGTTGCTTGCTACCTGTTCGGTGCAGATGACATAGAAGATCTTTCCTTGTGCCCGGTTCGAGCATTACGGATTTATCTAGCTGCCTCACAGGATCGCCGCAGACTGTGTAAGAGATTGTTCATTCCATTATCTACTGCCTCTGCCTCGGAAGTCTCACGCACTACCTTGGCGTTTTGGATGAGAAATACGATCCTGCGTGCTTATGCCTTTGCTGACCTGCCTCCACCGTCGACGGCGAAGCCTCATGAGACTCGGGCTCTCGCTTCCACCATGGCACTTCACAGGAATTGTTCCCTCCAGTCCATCATGGAGGGATGTTTTTGGAAATCAGATACTGTGTTCACCTCACACTACCTGCGGGACCTCTCAGTTACAGACGTGGAGGGTCTACATCAATTCAGCCCCCTGGTCCTGGCACAGCAATTGTCATCGGCCCGTGTTCGCAGATAAAGCAATCCTTCTTTGGTCGCTTTTGCTCTGTACATAATATAAGATATCGATGTCATCCATGTCTTGGTACTTTTTTTCATTTGGGCTTAGATCATTCTCACCTAGGGGACTAGGGCATGTTTGCACTGTCATTAATATGATTGGATAGACTGTGAGGCAAGTCTTGTGCTACATGCAGAGATGGTCGACATTCCTCTTATTGACCTCTACTCTTTGAGCAATCACGTCAGTGAAGTGTTGATTTCTGATTACCTACATGGTTTTCGAAGCGTTCCGCTCCTAAGTCCATTATCACCTTTGGTAGGTTAGGGGGATTGGTACTGAACGTTAAACTAGTTGAGCAACCGGGCTATTCCCTCTTTCACCGCCTTCCAGCGTGTGTCTGTGGGGCGTAGTTTCTAAGCAGGGACTGGCCAGATTAAGGTCTTCGACTTTAATTCACTGGGGTCACCTGATAAATCGCGGGTCGGCGGGGCCTACTTAACAAACTGCGTCCTTTTGCTTGTCAAAAGTTGCAGCTGAAAACCACATTAATTCGGGAGCGCCCACTCCCTAGAGTTTTTGTGCTGTGTAAGCCAAGGAGTCACCTGAAGAAACCCATCACAAGGTTGGAGTTTGCATATCGGGAGTTGGTGCTTTCTCCTGGCCACCTTGGGTTATGCGTCTTCACAGTGGTAAGTATTGACAGGGTAATCTGCGGCCCTTCTACCAACCGTGGGATTATGCATACCGTGAGATAGGATAAGTTTAAAAATTTGAAAATTTTGCTATAAATTGTATATTTATATACTTATCCTATCTCACGCAATGGATACCCACCCGACCTGCCCCATATCAGAGATTACTGGAAGCTCCAAGACGAGAATGACAGGCACAGGTAGTCACGTGATCATCTGAGCGAGCTGCACGCTTACAGAGATGATTGACAGGTGCTGATGTCGGAGTGGGGGCAGAGGTCAGGGCGGGTCAGAGGCCAGTAAGATTTGATTCAACTTAGCCTACAGCACGTTTCCACACATGGTCGTTAGAAGAAGAAGAGAGGTGCATACCGTGAGATAGGATAAGTATATAAATATACAATTTATAGTAAAATTTTCAAGTATATTTCTCATTATTTACCACCTGTCCTTCCAGGGTTTACCAAAATGGTAAATAACCAAGATTTGCATTATTTCTTTCCTCCTGCAGTAAGTCTATGCACTTTGGCCCCGCCGTGATATTGCTGGAATATTGCTAAAAGCGGCTTAAAACTAAACTCACTCACTCACACTATGCTCTTTGCTGTGACACAAACACTGGTCAAAACAGTCTTAAACCAAATTTATTCATTCACTATTATGTGAAGATATAATGTTATGATAATTCTGAATTATTTTATATGAGAACTTAAACAAAATTCTATGTTTAATCAATATAAAAGGATTTTATCAGTTTCCAGGGCTCCAGATAAATTTTCAACATCAGGAGTACATACTCCTTACTTTTTCAATGCAGGAATACTGGAAAACCTTAAGGGTACATTTAGAGTACTTAATGGAATTGAATGGCGTATCAGTAATCTTGTGTTTCATTTCATATATGCACCACAACATTGCTACTTTTGTGTAAACAGGTCAATGAGCAACAAAACAATACTTTTTCAGATATATACGTCTGTAAATGATTCTAAGACCGTACACCATTGCTGTAGTGCGTATCTGCTACGTTTTCTAAATTATTTCCTACCGTATCGTGCACATTTTATATCTGTATATACGCCGATACGGCCCTTATCTGGAGCCCTGAGTTTCTCTGAAATAGGGACGGAAAACAAAAACATTATGGATAATATCATCTACAACAAAATTCTAATTTGGACTAAAATATATAGATTTTCTAGGTTGTCGTGCTTGACACTGATAGCCTGATAATCTGAGACAGATTGTTTATAAAATAGGGGGCGGTGGGGTAGCCTAATGGTTGAAGCGTTGGCTCGTCACGCCGAAGACCCGGGTTCGAATCCCCACATGGGTACAATGTGTGAAGCCCATTTCTGGTGTCCCCCGCCGTGATGTTGGTGGAATATTGCTAAAAGCGGCGTAAAACCAAACTCAGTCAGTCAGTGTTTATAAAATAGATTTTGCGAGGTAATTGGCATTGAATGAACGTCAGTGTTGTAATGATCAAAGTATGTGGTGACATTGTGATTGACAGAAATCAATAACTTAACCTTGTCATTGAAGGGGGGTGTCTTTAACAGAAGCAGAATTTTAGTTTTGATTTCCCATTGTTAGAATTAGAATTTAGCAAATCAACAGGTATTATTGGATAAGGCATATGAAGTGAGTTTAGTGAGTGAGTTTAGTTTTACGCCGCACTCTGCAATATTCCAGCTATATGGTGGCGGTCTGTAAATAATCGCGTCTGGACCAGACAATCCAGTGATCAACAGCATGAGCATCGATCTACACAATTAGGATACAATGACATGTGTCAACCAGGTCAGCGAGCCTAACCACCTGATCCCGTTGGTCGCCTCTTGTGACATACTAGAGTTACTGAAGACCAATTCTAACCCGGATCTTCACGGGTGCATATGAAGTTATTAAGCAACTAATGCAAACATTTACTGTTCATATTGTTATTGGGGCGGTGGGGTAGCCTAATGGTTAAAGCGTTGGCTCGTCACGCCGAAGACCCGGGTTCGAATCCCCACATGGGTACAATGTGTGAAGCCCATTTCTGGTGTCCCCCGCCGTGATATTGCTTGAATATTGCTAAAAGCGGCGTAAAACCAAACTCAGTCAGTCAGTCATATTGTTATTGAAAAGCAGATCTGGTAAAGAAGGATGTACTTAAATTGTCAACAGGATGCTTCTAATGTAGGACAAACATCAGATTTATGAGGAAATGTTGATAAGAATCATATCGTATCAGAAATATGGAAGGTATTGCATATTGATTAGGAAAGAGCAATATGTGAACTATTAAACTATGAGGTTAAGTTATGGGAAGTTAGAAATTTAAAACCAGTTCTTTAGTTAGACCTATTTTAAAACATCGTATTTAATTTCTAGGCCAATATGCCAAGAAAAATTATTTTGTGATTAAAGCAAAAACAACTTTGTTTGTCTCAGAGTCTCCAATAATATTTTACAAAATGCTCTTTGATGATAATGCTCTCACAACATCCTTTGAAATACATGTAGAAACAACTAAGACAATTTGGAACATATTTATCGAATGTGCAGTCATGTTGTCTCTTGCATTTCTGAGAGTTTTGTCATCGTATTTGGCATGGTTCTTTTTTGGAGATTATTCAATGAGTTTGAAGAATTTTTAAAATTCAGCTGATTCTCCTTGAATTAGAGTTTGTAGTCATCAAGCTCCATTTGCGGTGACCGTTTTTTGTGGCCTTTCTCATTGTCTACAAACAGCGATTGGACCAAACTTACCAGTGTATTTGGAGTGAAAGGAATTCCAAATTTTATTTGCACTTCAGCATTAATTTCAAGAATATGTCTAGTGCATCTGACTATTTTGTAAATAGTTAGTTTGAAGTATTGTTTGCTTTCTTCACGGTTGTCAGACTGTTTCATGTGCATGTGATAGTAGTTGTATGCCATTGGAAGCAGCATGGCGTTTCGGTTGCATGATGAACGTCTTTCTTGTAATATCTGGCATTGCTTGTAATGACAGTAGATAGCCCAACGTTTGTGTTGACTAATACTTCATGTTGTCTTAGCATTGGCAAGTTGTTGCATGAGTTGTTTTTTTTCATTTTTCGTGTTATGTTTTCTTTAAAAAAAATTCCTGTCCTTTTGTCATTATTTACGTGAAATGAAAGTTTCTGAATTCTGAAAATTATGAATGTTTTTACAGTTGAATAAATCTTTTGACATTAAAGCCTTTAGATAAGTTATTTCAAATGTTTTGAAAAAATAAATCATTTACAGTAATAGATAAGGGAATAATAGCTCCCCTTGTTCCCAAAACACCATCGTCTTATTTGTGGCCATGACTAATGGAAAGAGGCAGATTGAGAAAAATGTTTTTGTGAAATTGAATTTATGATAAATATATTGGTTTCGAAAAGTTCACCTCAAATTTCCATGTCACATGCATCATGACAAGAAGCTGTATTCAGTTTTTCTATATGATTCAGCTGAGAGTGAAGGCTCTCCATGATTACCAGGCCAACCGGGCAGATGAGCTGTCCTTCCTCAAGGAGGCCATCATCACCAACGTCACCAAACAAGATGGAGGATGGTACGGCCATTTTGTTCATTATGTTCTGTGTCTTATTTGTTGTGCATTGTTGCTATTTGTCACCAAACCGGATGGAGGATGGTACGACCATTTTGTTCATTATGTTCTGTGTCTTATTGTGAATTTTGCAATCTCTGGCGGGGTGTTAAAGAGTTTTCACTCAGTTGATGTCATATTGTTGAAATGTCGCAAATTTAAATGTGGGATAAGACAGCAACATTACCACATACCAAGTCATCTCAGTGGTGTCGGCCAATACCGCAAAAATCTCAAATTATAGACAACCCGAAACCACGAAAAAAAGATTGTATAAATCTGTTAGGTTGGGACCGATCGTGCGAAACTCTATAATCACAGAACTATGAAGCTGAGTTAATCCAGATGCCAGTTGTAACGGACAACTTTCAAGCTTGAGTTTAAACGTTGAGTTTGTGTTTTCATTTCTACTCGTAGTAGTGAATAATTCAATTGAGTGTATGAACTTTGTGTTTTCGTCTCAACATTAAATCAAATGTTGAAGCCAGGGGTAGCCTAGTGGGCACATGCCCACATGGGTACAATGTGTGAAGCCCATTTCTGGTGTCTCCTGCTGTGATATTGCGGGAATATTGCTAAAAGCAGCATAAAACCTCGTTAAGATGAGAAAGCCACAATAACTCGGTGCGCCTAGTGGCTGCAAGAGTTGTATACTCCCCAGGGAGTTGAGATTGATAATGCGATGTGCCGTTGAGATTGACATCCAATGATCGAGGGAAAAAATACCAGCGCCTTGAGCATGCACTAGTGCGTGGATATGTGTGCTATATAAATATCCTATAATAATAATAATAATAATAAAAAAAACCATACTCACTCACTCTCAAGTTAAATGGTCACAGAGACACTTGTGCCTGTTTCAAATAAGTATTAATGTCTTGATCTCCTTCACTTTCGGCTTTCATCAAACATAATATATTTGAATGGTATTATCTTAACAACATACTATACTTCAAGATCAGAAAACAAGTGAAACTTATCCCCTTACCTGTCATCAAGACACTGAAGCCTGAGCGTTCAGTGCTGCTAAATAAATAAGCGATTTCTCCTTATGAATTTGGATTTGAAAACAAAGCTTTTTATTGAGACATTTTTGTAATCATTTCTTATCTCATTAATGTAACAGCACTGCTGAGTAAAACCTCTCCAAAACATTTTCTAGTTGTAGTAGTAGATTTGGTGTTTTTTTGTTTGAGAAGAGATGTTTCTTTTGAGACATTTTGTTATTTAGGGAATGAGAAGTCTTATTTTTTAAAATTTAATATATGTAGTAATGTTTGGATTCTGAGAGTAAGTTCTATTTGTTTGCTCGGAGTAGGGGTAGCCTCGTGTTAAAGTGTTCGCTTGTCACTCCGAAGACCCGGGTTCGACTCCCCACATGGGTACAATGTGTGAAGCCGATTTCTGGTGTCCTCCATGTGATATTGATGAAATACTGAAATATTGCTAAAAGCGTCATAAAACTAAACTCACTCACTCACTATTTGTCTGCTTGGCCACCAGGTGGAGGGGTGATTATGGGGCGAAGAAACAGCACTGGTTTCCCTCCAACTATGTGGAGGAACTGGACTCGGAGAATGATTCTGCGGAGTCAGCACCTCTGGGATCTTTACAGCAGGGCTCTGTAGATGTCCAGGGATGTATGACAGGTGAGAGACATGGACTGTACTGATTCTGTGAAGTTGGTAGGGACGTTGAAACCCTGAATGTTCAGTGTTCACGAATAGCGTCTGACCCTCTGACAAATTCGGCAGATTCGCCAACGGTCCGATAGAAGTCTACCACCCGCCGGTCCCAATGTCTGACTGTATATTTCACCATGACTTTGACTGAAGTTGTTATATGTGACATGTGACACTTGTATGCTGTTTATAAATATTATGCTTGTTAATAATTTCAATGCCAATTATAAGAAATGTTAAATCTGAAATGTGTGTTTAATTTTATTTTATGGGTCCTGTGAATTTTCAATGGGTCAGACAGACATCTGAAACTTACAGGACCCATGTCCTGTTACTTTGAAACAGCATTCTTGAACACTGAATGTTATTGTGCCTTCTTTTCCATACATTCACACATCATTTAGAGAGTTATGTACTAAAGGGGTTACACTGTAAGACACAATGTGATCCTGAGCCAAATTAAATTTTCTTCCTGTTCATACCCGGTTTCTTGGTTTGAAATTGGTGTTCAGCAACCCATGCATGTTGTAAGTGGTGACTATTAGGATCAGGTGGTCGGCTGACTTGGTTGACACATGAGTTCATATTCTCCTCCGATCTCAAGCTGACATTCCATGATATGGCTGGAATACTTGTCAGAGGGGTGTTTAACCTAACTGACTCAATCAGTCACTATTGGCTTTCCTCTGACATCAGACCTGTGAAGGTCCGGGTTAGAATATTGATCTTCAGTAACCCATGCTTGTCGTAAAAGGCGACTAATTGAATCGGGTGGTCAGGCTCGCTGACTTGGTTGGCACATATCATCTGCTCCCAATTGCTCAGATTGATGCTCATGCTGTTGATCACTGGATTATCTGGTCCAGACTCGATTAGTTATAGACCGCCGCCACATAGCTGGAATGTTGCTGAGTGTGGCGTAAAACTAACCTCACTCACTCACTCCTCTGACATCAGGGGCCGGTGGGTAGCCTAGTAGTCAAAGCGTTCGCTCTTCACGCTGAAGATCCGGTTTCGATTCCCGACATTTCTGGTGTCCTTCGATATTGCTGGAATATTGCTAAAAGTGGCGTAAGAGGATACTCACTCACTCACTCCTCTGACATCAGCTGTGATTATTGTACAAAGCAATGTTTCACTCACTCACTCCGGCGCTCACTCCACCACTCACTCACTCCACCACCCAACCCCTCAACCAATCACTCAACCACGAACTTCACTGTTCCAGAGGTGTCTGTGGGGAGAGGCACACAACCACTCACTCACTTAACCACTCACTCAACCACCCAACCACTCAACCAATCACTCAACCACTCACTTCACTGTTCTAGAGGTGTCTGTCAGGAGAGGCACTCAACCGCGCACTCACTTAACCACTCACTCAACCACTCACTCAACCACTCACTCACTTAACCACTCACTCAACCACCCGACCACTTAACCAATCACTCAACCAATCTTTCAACCACTCACTTCACTGTTCTAGAGGTGTCTGTGGGGAGAGGCACTCAACCACTCACTCACTTAACCACTCACTTAACCACTCACTGAACCACCCAACCACTCAACCAATCACTCAACCAATCTTTCAACCACTCACTTCACTGTTGTAGAGGTGTCTGTGGGGAGAGGCACGCAACCACTCACTCACTCAACCACTCACTCAACCACTCACTTCACTGTTCTAGAGGTGTCTGTGGGAAGAGGCACTCAACCACTCACTCAACCACTCACTCAACCACTCACTCAACCACCCAACCCCTCAACCAACCCCTCAACCAATCATTCAACCACTCACTTCACTGTTGTAGAGGTGTCTGTGGGAAGAGGCACTCAACCACTCACTCACTCAACCACTCACTCAGCCACTCACTCAACCACCCGACCACTCAACCAATCACTCAACCAATCTTTCAACCACTCACTTCACTGTTGTAGAGGTGTCTGTGGGGAGAGGCACTCAACCACTCACTCACTCAACCACTCACTCACTTAACCACTCACTCAACCACTCACTCAACCACCCAAGCCCTCAACCAATCACTCAACCACTCACTCAACCACTCACTTCACTGTTGTAGAGGTGTCTGTGGGGAGAGGCAGGAACTTTGCCTTCAAGCTGTTCAGTCGGTACCAGGCCCACCCTCTGGAAGTGGCCTGTGAGACTGATGCTGACATGAAGGATTGGATGGAGAAGATAAGCCATTGTTCTTCCAGTGCTGTGCAGAGGGTGAGTTCAGTAGCAGCTCCTCTAGCAGGGTCTTACCTGGCGCCGTGCTGACCGATAGGAATCAGAACTTGTTACCTGGTCTGGTTTCGGAGGTTGGAGAAATTTAGAGACATTTTTTTCAGTTATCGATAGCAATATGTGTATGTTCATTTATTCATTCATTCATTGTTTTGTTCATTTATTCATTCATTCATTCATTCATTCATTCATTCATTCATTCATTGTTTTGTTCATTCATTCATTATTCTACTCATTCCTTTTTTCATGTTGTCTTTCATCTGTTTATTCCATGGTTCATTTTATCATTTCATTCATCAGAGCTTTCATTAATTCATTCACCCATTAATTCATTATTTCATTCATTAATTCATTTTTTTCTTTATTCATTTGTTAGTTTGTTTATATGTAATTTATATATGAGTTGTTAGAATAGTTTGCATTGACGAGCCTCTAACAACTAGCTCTACAAGTAGCCTAGTGCATGTTTCCTGGAATATGTTTTGTCGGTATTTGGGATGTAGTTAGCAAGCACTACCTAACCGTTGGGGTCTTAAAACAGTTTACTGATTGTTCCCTTTCCTTTTTTAAAATTGAGTTCATTAGGAAAATTGGTTTTTATTTTGATCAAGTTAATGACCAATGTTTCATGTTTCATATTTGGTTGCTAATAGTGCCAAACGTATACTCATTGGTGTCCAATATGTTTTGGTACATCTTAAGCAACCACTCTTTTAAATATTTAATTTAAAAAATGATGTTGTATGTTGATGTTATGAGAGAAGGAGAGCATTGAGCTTTGCCCCAAATGTAAATGCTTGTATCAGCACTGCTAATGTTAGATAATTCTTTTAACTAATTTCACAAGAATTAATTATGCATGTTTTAACTAACGAATTCAGTACAAAGTATATTCTTAGAAGGGGTGGTGGGGTAGCCTAGTGGTTAAAGCGTTTGCTCATCACGCTGAAGGCCCGGGTTCAATTCCACACATGGGTACAATGTGTGAAGACCATTTCTGGTGTCCCTGCCGTGATATTGCTGGAATATTGCTAAAAGCGGCGTAACTCAACTAGGAAATTGGTAAGAATCATGGGTTGTAGCAAGCGTATACTCTGTTTTCAGCAGGTTAGGGTCAGAGGGAAGTAACTGTTCACATGAAGCATATATGTCTCTCCCTTGTTTCCAGATGTCGAAAATAACTAAACATGACATTGAAAGGATGGTACGTAAGGGATTAACACTCAAGCTTTGTCCTATCATAGCTGAAAACAGGAGGATTCTTACATAGTTCGGCGCTCTGGAAAGGCAATAAAATGAGTTCAATATTGAGTATAGGCTTCAGTTATGTTAAAGAATAAGATGAAAATTTGTCAGATTCATTGTAATGTTGAAATATTTTTTGATTATGAACCTAAAGTAATTGTGTTCTTTTTGACTTTCAACAAAGTTTGGAAAATTAATGAGAAATAATTTTCGTCTGATTTCTAAAACGATTACTTGTGAATTATAAGCCAGAGTTTTGTATGAGTGGTGGTTAAATCCTCTCTAACTCTTTAAGAATCCTCCTTGTGACCTTTTCAAGCTTATTTTCATCATCTTGTCATGTATTGCACAGTTTGCAGATGTACCAACACATTCAATTTTTTCTTCATTTGCTGTGCAGCATACATGTAACTTTAAAGTCTTTATCCTATGTACTGGAGCCTTTATCCCTTCTTCATCCGCAGCACATGATTTTTTTTCTTTAGCTCCGCAACTTGTTGTAATGGCATCCTAGCATCCGCTGTTATTTTAATTTTCTTAAGTTTCATGCAGTGCGTTGGTATGTCATGTTAGCAATGTAGGTAGAGATCAGTGTTTGTGGAGGAACCACCTTTGTCAGGATTGATAGGACTTTACTGATTAAGGCATATCGTTTATATATATCTCTGGATGAATTCACATCAGTCATCAAACCAGGGGCTTATCTGTTTTAAAGGTGGTCCACAATGCTCCCTATGAGATTCCAGGTCAGATTAAGTCCCCAGCAACTGATGCTCGATTCCCTGGAGAATTCCAGGTTTATTACAGTTCCCTAGCAACATATGTTGTCTGATTAGGTGATTAGCCTTGCTGGGTCAGCTGGTCAGCATGTGAGACTCGGTTGATGGTATGTTATTGTACCATAGTATCTTGGCTCATACTCATAATATTAACCACTGGTTTGTCCTGTCCAGAATAGATCATATGCAGGCTATTGTTAAGTGTGGTGTCAATATGATTCTTTGAACCAGTGTTCACGAATAGCGTCTGACCCTCTGACAAATCCGGTAGATTCGCCAACGGTCCGATAGAAGTCTACAACCCGCCGGCCCCAGTGTCCCAACTGTATATTTCACAATGACTTTGACTGAAGTTGTTATATGTGACATGTGACAGTTGTTTGCTGTTTATTGCTGTTTATAAATCTTATGTTTGTTAATAATTTCAATGCCAATTATAAGAACTGTTAAATCTGAAATGTGAGTTTAATTTTATTCTATGGGTCCTGTGAATTTTCAATAGGTCAGACAGACATCTGAAACTTACAGGACCCAATGTCCTGTTACTTTGAAACACCATTCGTGAACACTGCTTTGAATATGTTGAAAAATACTCTACTCCAGTAGATTAACAAGGGGTAAATAGCCCGAGTATTGAAACCGGGGCAAAATGTATAACTGTCATCCACTATGGTAGGGATTAAGATAAGGATGGGTGAAGCTGTAGTTTTATTCTGTGCCCTATCGTAAGCCACAAGTTTGCAAGTTAAATTTTGTACATTTTATACAATGGAGGCTTTATTAATGTCAATGGACATTTCTCTGTTAAAAAAGTCCATACAAGTAATTCGTTTCATATCCTCTATCTTTTGCCTCTCTGGAAATATTTTCCCAAATCTTGCTTTTATATCTTGAGAAATCTTGGTTGACATGCCTTTCTTCTGCTGCATGGACATTGTGTGTTGTGTAGATGATGATTGATTCGATCTTTAACTTGTCTACAAGCAACTTACTGCTGTGTTTTTGCTCCTGTGATGTATAATTATTCCTATTTGCAAGCATGGATCTTGTTTATGTTTTCTTAAGAGCCGTGGAGTTACAACAGATGGTGCAGTCTGGCATGATGTACCAAAATATTGTATTCCTGTTTGTTGTAATGTAGTTTGAATATACAGCATTGACCATCCTGACAGGGATGATAAGCAGCCATGTGAAATGGAACTGATTCATGGAGTTGTTTGAAATTTTGCTCCAACCCGTAATTTTGCCAATCTCTGGACATAATGAATATTGACATTAGAGGTGACTTTTCGACGAACTATGTCAAACTGGTCCTTGGGAGTTCCTTTTGCATATGTCACAAGGTCATGGTCAAGGACATGAGAAATGAAAAGTCACGAGAAATTCTTCCATTAAGGTTTTTCAGGAGTATTAAAATATATGTGGTTTTACTAAGTAAATGACATCTTATGGTTTGTCCCTGCTTTGGAAAGGTCGAGGTCAAAATAGTATAGAGGTCAGGATGAGTATTCAATCTTTTGACTTGGGGTGTATGTTTGGGCCTGGAGTAGTTGTCATGATAAAGGTCAAGGTCTAAGTCAAGGTCCCCTGTTTTCCTACTGGCAGCATGTGTTATATATTTTTAGATTGGAGAAATGTTGTGAAATGCATGCTTCTATTTTTGCAAGTTCTTGCCAACACCTCTAGTTTTAACGCCCCGTGAAGATCCGACTATGCTTGTCGTAAAAGGCGACTAACGGGATCGGGTGGTCAGGCTCGCTGACTTGGTTGACACATGTCATCGGTTCCCAGTTGCGCAGATCGATGCTCATGCTGTTGATCACTGGATTGTCTTACAGACCGCTGCCATATAGCTGGAATATTGCTGAGCGCGGCATAAAACTAAACTCACGCACTCACTCACTCTAGTTTTAACACTGAATATTTTGTAGTTTAAAACCATTTCATGTTTCCAGTGACCTTTTTAAAATTACTTTATTACTGAATGAAAAACATACTTTTAGATTTTGCTCCATGATCAAAAACATTTAGCTGCGTCACTGCAACTGTGACAACCATAGAGGCGTCTTTTGCGCTCGTGTTTTGTAAGGAACAGAAGACAGAACTTTTTGATTTGTGCTTATCATAATAGTTCACTCGGCATGCTGCTGTGACAAGGCTAAGGTATGTTGTAGTGATTTTAGCCTGGTTAAGTTCCAGACAAGAATAGAGGCGGTGGGGTAGCCTAGTGGTTAAAGCGTTGGCTCGTCACGCCGAAGACCCGGGTTCGATTCCCCACATGGGCACAATGTGTTAAGCCCTGGTGTCCCCCGCCGTGATATTGCTGGAATATTGCTAAAAGCGGCGTAAAACTAAACTCAGTCAGTCAGTCCAGACAAGAATAGGTCGCAGATACTTGTGCTGAGCGTGTGAGGTTTGGTTGGGTTCATTGTCTCGGTTGGCATGGATAATAGCTCGCAATATCGTTCACTGGATTGTCTAGTCGAGAATTGAAAATATATCTGTCTTGAATGTCAGAGCAAACAGAACAATTCAGATTAATTTCCACGTTTTGTTTCCTAGCCAACAACTTTTGAAATGCTTTTTTCTATTCTTTTCAAAATAAACATGTGGTATACTTAGAAATAGCTCAAAATTTCTAGAATGGTAAGGGATATAAGTTTTTGATATTAGTTGTATCATAATAAATACATTTCAACTTGTAACTAAGTTTGACAGTAGATGTTTTGACTGCTAGTAATCTTGATAGAGGGGAGGTTTAAGATGAAAAATTGATGGTTTTGGATGAGTTGTGAACAATACCAGCACAATTTGTGAAACATTCATTCACTCGACAAGGCCAACTGTGTATGAGTCTCCCAACCCCTGTGTGGGAGATTGTCCTACTCCTCCTGAAGCGCCTGGCCAAGTTCCGCCAGCATTCATTCACTCGACAAGGCCTACTGTGTATGAGTCTCCCGACCCCTGTGTGGGAGATTGTCCTACTCCTCCTGAAGCGCCTGGCCAAGTTCCGCCAGCATTCATTCACTCGACAAGGCCTACTGTGTATGAGTCTCCCGACCCCTGTGTGGGAGATTGTCCTACTCCTCCTGAAGCGCCTGGCCAAGTTCCGCCAGCATGGTTAGTGGCCTATGATGTTAATGGACAGGTGCCCCTATTCTGTCCCAGATGGGTTCATTGGGGAAGGGTCTGGGCTCATTGTCAGCCATGGTATTCTATAGGTGTTTTAGCTGCTGTCATTGAGCATTGACATTCATGCAGCGTGAGCACAGGTGTTGACCCACTGAAGATGGCTACAACTATGTTTAGTGGGCAGCAAAGAAGACTCCAGCTGAAAGTCTGAAGTTCAGTTTTAGTGCGACTGTAGCCACCAGTACATGATTTATGGCAATGATGTAATATAGGTAGCGATCTTAGAAATATAATAATAACATTTTTCAATGTTTCACATTTGTTAATAGCATATATATGTGGGGCGGTGGGGTAGCCTAATGGTTAAAGCGTTGGCTCGTCACGCCGAAGACCCGGGTTCGAATCCCCACATGGGTACAATGAGTGAAGCCCATTTCTGGTGTCCCCCGCCGTGATGTTGCTGGAATATTGCTAAAAGCGGCTTAAAACCAAACTCAGGCAGGCAGGAAGCATATATATGTGTTGGACACGTCAATCTCTGATTTGTCTTAAATGATAATTGTCTAACTTGAAGAAATGTCAATAATGAACATTTTATCCATCAGTTTCTCTAAAACTAATAGCGTTGTTCACAGTTACAAGTAACCATGTACGATTATGGTTATGATTTATGGTAATGTTCATAAATGGATAAAGTGAGGTAATTACAATCAAAAAGTGACAAATTGCCTTGCGTGTGGTGTGATTGCTGTGGTTGGTGTGACTTAACCGATCAGATATCTTTGATAGTCTCCAGGGGTGGAAATAACTTTAAAATTGCTAGTGTACTCCGGTACAGTGGCACATGTAAAATCACTTGCCCTGATAATTTTTCCACTATACAGGCTGATTTTCTTGTTGATTTTGTAAATAAACAACTGAATTAACATTGGAAAGTCAACTGGACACCGGTACAGTGTAATATATAAATTTGCTTGCCCGACAGAAAAAAACACTGGACTGGGGCGTCGGGCGATGGATTATTTCCACCCCTGGTCTCCGTAGTATATCACCTATTATATTGGTAGGGTTAACATAAAATATGAGCTTATTGTAAAATATAATAAATCCCATGTGAATTCTTGGTTAGAAAATTCATTAAGAATCCAATGCTGGTCATTAATTAAGAGACAACTTGTGAAGATCGTGTTGTAGGGGCTACAGGCTAACAGGAGGGATTACTTGAACCTGAATGTTTAATGGGCATTTCTTTGTGTATCAGCTTCTGTACAGCCTGTCATTAACTGGTTTGTTTGGTCCAGATTTTATTGTATACAGACTGTCAGTGATTGTCTGGTCCAGACTTGATTGTATACAGACTGTCAGCCATTGTCTGGTCCAGACTTGATTGTATACAGACTGTCAGCCATTGTCTGGTCCAGACTTGATTGTATACAGACTGTCAGCCATTGTCTGGTCCAGATTTTATTGTATACAGACTGTCAGTGATTGTCTGGTCCAGACTTGATTGTATACAGACTGTCAGCCATTGTCTGGTCCAGACTTGATTGTATACACACTGTCAGCCATTGCCTGGTCCAGATTTTATTGTATACAGACTTCTCGTTTGGGATTCTGATTTGTAATTACTAACTATACTTCCTTCTGCACTGGGCCGGTGGTGTAGGGAGTGGTTAAAGCGTTTGCATGTCACGCCGAAGACCCGGGTTTGATTCCCCACATGGACACTATGTGTGAAGCCCATTTCCGGTGTCCCCCCACCATGATATTGCTGGAATATTGCTAAAAGCAGCGTAAAAGCATACTCACTCACTCCTGCATTCTTCTGTTCTTATTCTCTATTAATGGAATGTGTTTAAGTATCACAGAAGCATGTTTACACTAAAAAAGTATGAAAAATCAGTTTATATTTATGGGGAAATGTGGGCCCGTGGGACTGAAATTTACAGGACATTTTAGAGTTCTGTGCACCATTGATGCAAGGTTTGGCTCTTGATCCATCGCTGCTATTAGTACTTCATGTCACTGTCCAGTATCTGATTGTTTACAGGCTGTTGAGATACGGCTTGAAGACAACATTACTGTTCATTTTCACGATGCAGGAGAAATTGTTTATATTTAAGCACAAGCCAGAAAAAGAAACTACAGAAAATAATACATTATTCCTCAACTCAAGGATACTTGAGCACATGTTATGTCATCTAATCATCCAAGGTGCTATGATTCACCTTACAGAGTTGTGTCCCTTTGGTATGCCAGGATAATGATTTGTGAGATGTTTGTAAATAAGCATGCTAGCTGTGTTGCATCATAATGTATAGACAGAAGCATAGAGAACATTTTCTTTCTTTTTTGCGACATCAGTTTTTGTGATGCAGTGTGAGTGCAGTTACCGTTTTTGCATAATGCTCGATAAACTAAATGGAGAAAAAGCAAGGAATTGCGAACTATCAGTCCCATGTGAATAAATTTCGTCCATGGTAAAGTGAAGAGCTTTCAATAGTAGTTGATGAGGGACTGATGTTCTGTCACTGTTGCGGTTATGATCTTCCTTATATTACTCAGTCTTCATTTGTGAAAAATTGTAGAAAAATGTTGTTTTCAGATCTCTATTGGAGATATCCGATCAGTTGTGTCATAAAATCATGTTAAGCTATCAAATACTGGTTTGTCTGGTTCAGACTTGATTACTTGCAGCATTCAGTGGAGGGGCGGTGGGGTAGCCTAGTGGTTAAAGCGTTCGCTCGTCACGCCGAAGACCTGTGTTCCATTCCCTACATGGGTACAATGTGTGAAGCCCATTTCTGGTGTCCCTTGCCGTGATATTGCTGAAATATTGCTTAAAGCGGCGTAAAACCCAACTCACTCATTCAGTGGAAATATATGTGAGGGCAGCATTAAAAAACAAGCACATACACATTCACCCTGTCAACCACCAGTTAGGGGCAGTGCGGTAGCCTGATGGTCAAAGTGTCCGCTCGTCACCCAGGTTTGATTTGCAACATGAGTACAATGTGTGAAGGCTATTTCTGGTGTCCCCCGCCGTGATGTTGCTGGAATATGGCTAAAAGCGGCGTAAAACCAAACTCAATCAGTCAGTCTGGTGTCCCCCGCCATGATATCACTCAAATATTGACAAAAGTGGCGTAAAAACCAACTCACTCACTCAACCACTAGTTTGTCTGTTCCTGGTTATTTACAAGCTGCCCACAGCGTCTCCAATAGCAACTACTCACTGATGTTTTTCACCAAGCTTTTCTCATGTTGTAGGTGGTAATGTTATAGCCGGTAGACACTGTCAAGTCTAAGCTGCCAAAAATATCAATACATTATAGTTCATGCAATATTTAGCTTCATTCACTGGCGGTCACGTTTAAATGTCATCTTGCGAACACCCACTAATTCAGTCATCAATCACAATTCCTTATGAAAGTCATGGCTGGAAGTCAGTAAGAAGATTTGCCAATTTTCCAGCGCTCAGTACGATGTTATCTATTCCTGAACAAATTAGTTCCAACCAAAAAGGGAATCCTGCCTTCTTCCCATCCATGGAATTAAATCACTTCTACTTACCCTGCTTATGTGATTGTATCCATCCACTAATTAAGCTGAATCAGGTTACATTATGAATATGTGAACAGTTATAATTAATGTGGTCTGAAGCCTGTTGGAACTATTCTTGTAATATTGCATATTTAGCTTGTCTTTTTGTGTGACATATGACGTCAAATATAACAAATTTATTCCTGAAAGCTTTATTTTTTGGTGTTCTGATTGTCCGTAATGGATTAGCACCGAGTACAGTCGAACCCTGTGATCTTGAACTTGCTGTGTCCAATTGACAGTTGTGTGGGATGTTTCGGCAGACTCTTGCTATATTTACAACTATCCAAACAAAATTGTGTTGAAACCCTCGTTGATTAGTGTCTCTCAAGATTTCAGAAATAACTTCAAATTGAATCTGAAATGTCAAACTCAAATTGTTAAATCACAATTTCGTACGAGGTCGAGATTGTGTTTGTAAGCACAACTACACTAAGGTACACAAATGTAGATATGACAAATACTTCTGTTTATATATTTTTCACTGGTACTTTAATGTTATTTGCTTTGTGATGTATGATGTCATGATCAGACTGTAAGATAAGACTAATGTGTTTAATCTGTCAAATGATTTACCTGGTCTCAATGAGTTCCCATCTACAAGGTTCGGCTGTATATTTATGGTTTCTAAATAACTTGTAGAATGACAATTTCGGGGGTCTGTTCATTAGTAATCCTGCTTGAATTGAACAGATCTTTTTCCTGATTAGTTTTAAATAAATATCACAAAATATTTATTATACAGTATATGTGTAAATATGTGCGTTTATTATGTTTATTAGTCTTAGCAGCATGTCATGCAGGATTATAATGTGGCACATTATGCTCAACTAATAGGTAAGGTGTCATGAATATTAGCGATGTATATATTTTTTTGTGAAAAGAGGGCACATTTTTGTTTACAAATATCCCCCAAAATATTATGACCCTGATGTTTTGTGTTCAGTAAAGAGGTCTATGTATGTAGCTGTCTTGCAATCAGATAAACTCTGACAAAATGACCAGGTTTTTTATGGTTCGACTTGTTTTGTTTCAGACATCCGAACAGAAGATGCTGGAAAGGACGATGAGAATAGCTAGGGAGTTTTCTGATCTGATAGTCTATTGCCGAGCCGTCCCATTTAATCCAGAGGGTAACAGGAGGAGTCTATTTTTGTAGTTTAGAAATGTGTTGCAAATACTGTTGCCAGTTGTATTTCATAGATGTAGGTGTCGCGGTATGGCTGAAACAGTGCTGCAGTGTTAAAATCACAATATTCACAAGTCACAATAAATTTAGACTTGAAGTTTCTGATACAAGAATATATATTTAAGTCCCAAGCAAATCTACAACACAGCAAGTCTATGTTTCTTCATTTTGAAAGAGATCATTAGGCTCCTGTATATGTGTTGAAAGACAATTTGTCATATGAATCGGAAAAGATATTTTCATTGCAGAAATATGTTGTCTGTTAATCTGTACATAAATGTGATCAACTCATGGAATCTATGGTACATATTTTTGAGACGAGGAAAACATTTTTATCGTCCAAAACAGGTTTTCTTTGGAGATTCTGCTTCACTGAGATCAAGTGATATCTCCTTGGAGATGTTACGTCAATGAAATTGCGTCTGAACAAAACTTAACTTTATTTCCACTCAAACCGCTGTCAGTGGAATTAGAGGTACAAAATATGCATCATTATAATCATCTTAATATACAGGTATAGAATGTGCGTCAACAACTTCACCGAGAAGTGAGTACAGCTACTACAGAACAAAAAATATGCTCAATTGTGAAACGTGCAGTTTGGGTTAGATATAGTCCGTTTGGCTCAAAAATCGGACTGATGAATTGCAATCTAGCTCGAAAACTACTAAACATGTAGTACAGAATGAAACACTGATCATAATCAAAGCATCAGACCAACTCTGTGATTTTTTTTTCAGAATTTATGTCCTAAAAATAAAAAAGTTGTTTAACAAACTATCATTACAATCTTGACACAGTTCACTATTTGTTACGAGGGAGGGGTGCATAGAGAGGAACAGCCAGATGTGCAAAAAAGGATGAAGACGGCACAACACAGGTTAATGAATCAATGACTTTGTCGGCACTTGTGCACGTGCTTCACGTACACCTGGCTGTTCCTCCCTTTGCAGTCCTCCCTCGTAACAAATAGTGAACTGTGTCAAAATTTTAATGATAGTTTGTTAAACAACTTTTGATTATGATTAGTGTTTCATTGAGTATGCTATGTTTAGTTGTTTTTGAGTTAGATTGCAATTCATCAGTCCGGACTATAGTAGCATAATGGTTTTTAACATTTTATTTCATTAGCTGTCATTTCATTAGCTGTTTTCTCTTATTTTCCAAAATTGGACTGTAAACAAGTAACAGAATTCATCGCCGAAGTCACTTTATTTTCAAAGTAGACAATTTCTTTCAGTCGCTTGTATTTTTTCCTTCTGCCAATTTCATTTGGCGGATTGAGTTTTTAGGTTTTGAATTCTAGCAATACAAGCCAAACAATTTTTGGAAAATTTAGGAAGATTTTTAAATTTAAGGATGCTTTATGTGATTATGTGATAGAAAGATTTAAGTATTGTAACTCTCCAGAACTGAAAGTACCATTGAGTTTGTTTTTAACTAGATTTTTAAATACCATGAATTTGAAATCTGTGTTTTCCAAATGTTACTAAGTCTAAGGTCATCAAAAGTGTAAAATGTGATCCAATTATGTGTGCACCTTTCCAATTCATTTTCTTTGTACTGCAGCTTATAGATGAAGAAAGATAACTTAGACGCTTTTCCAGATAGAAGTTTTTTTCTCAAAAACATACCATTCTAGTTTTAACTAAATTTGTTATAGAATCTTCCAAGTTCACATAATCTATTAAATTTGGAGTACTTTTTTCTGACTGTGGTTAAAGACTTCAGAAAACGCTGAGGAACATTTTCAATCCTAAGTTTCGAAACCCTAAATCTCGCAATCGTTCATAAGTATTGGTAAGACCATGCTGTCAAAAGTCGCAGTTGACAGCCAAGATAAGGATCAAATTTACACCCTTTGCCCAAATCTTAATACATGGATTCGGTTGCCTGTTCTACCCGATTTTACTTTGTAGTGGTAAATTTTGAAAGGTTTTGCAAGGTGATGCCGATGTATTTCAAAGACTTGACATTTTTCAAAGTGGCTTGATCAATATAACATTTGTGTGTATATTCTCCAAATATCATTACTTAAGTTTAAAAACATTAATCATAAGCCTTCATCTTCCCAACTGTTGGATGAATCTAACACTTTTATCAAATCCATGTATTTTTGTAGCCAAGAGGATTCATTATCTGCTTCTACTAACAAAAATAATATAATGATATTTGCAATTCTATCACTAAATTCACTTGACTTTAGTTGAACACTAATACCTGGATCATACAAAGGGTTGTTTTTTAAATCATACACAAATATGGCAAACAGAAGGGGAGACACGTTTTCTCCTTGTCTAACTCCAGTTTTACAGGGGAAGAAACTTGTGTGATTATCATTACATGAAACACATGACTTTATGTTTTTGTACTTGTTATTACCATAAAACATTTCACAGTTCCATTATATTGAAATAGTTTCTGCCAAAATCTGAAACGCCAGACCATATCTAATGCTTTTTTGAAAATCAATGGCACAGAATAGTTTCTTTTTCTTTGCTGTTAAAAGTCCTGCAAAGCCACACACATACTGTAAAGATATAATCATCAGTAGAAAATCCATTTCTAATTCTGTCTGAGATTCTCATAACAAGGAAATTGATTCAATGAAGTTTTGTAAGCAATTATGTAAAGTAAATGATTGAGTTAAAAAGTCAAAAGATCATTGGCCTGTTGTTTTTAGGCATTTGGGGGTCTCCTTTGTTGATATAAAGAGGCATGATTACCCCTGTTAACTATTTTTTCTGGGAAATGTACCACTTTCAAGTACCAAAATATAAACCTTGAAATAAAAATCAGTAGATACAAGAATGGTATTTGAAATATACTCATAACTGAAAGCATCAAATCCTGCAATGCTTTGGAGACCATTGTGACATAATCGGTTACTGCGACATCACAATTAAATAACTTCTCTATGATTTGAAATTTGAAGGTTGTTTATTTATATGAAATCATTCAGGAATCATCTTTCTTTCAAAAGATCAATCATTTGTAAGACATGACTGTTATGGTTTTCAAAGGTTATTTTGAATATTGCAGTTTTGTAAAGAATAATGACATTTATGATATATTTTCCTGTATTGTATTTGCAGAAATACCTGGTCCGTACTACGAGATGTCCTCATTCCCAGAAACAAAAGTTGAAAAATACATCAACCGCAGCAAAGCCAAATTTTTCCTTAGATATCCTTTCACAAAAAGACTTGATTGGGAGGGCCTGCCTGTGAAAATGGGGCAGAAAATAGCATCTTAGATGAGTCCCTTCAGACTTTTGAGACCCATGAAGGCTCGGGTTAGAATTGATCTTCAGTTACCCATGCTTGTCGTAGGAGGCGACTAAAAGGATCGGGTGGTCAGGCTTGCTGGCTTGGTTGACACATGTCATCGGTGTTGATCACTGGATTGTCTGGGCCAGACTCGATTAATTATATAGCTGGAATGTTGCTGAATGCGGCGTAAAACTATACTCACTCACTCACTCAGACTTTTGAGCTAATGTCCAGTGGCTTGAAACGTTAAAAATACGGTCTGAATATTAATATACAATCTTGTTGTCTTCTTTTGAGGAATTAAATAACTAACAGATTCCATTGTTGTGTTCCTGGACGGAGACTGGAACCAACTGAGTGACGTTTGTGACAATGACATCTGTTTATTGGAAAAACGTAACTCGGAGTATTTTTACCAAAGTCTGAATTTAATGCTGGAAAAGAAAATGTGTAAAGTTGATTCCCTGAGTCACAGGCTTTTTCTATTGCATTACAGCAACACAAGCACATGCCCAGTCATCTCAGTAAATGCATATATAGCGGTTGGGTAGCCGAGTGGTTACAGCGTTTGCTCACCCTTACTAAAGACATGGGTTTCATTCCCCACAATGTCTGAAGCCCATTTCTGGTGTTCCCCCACCATGATATTACTAGAATATTGCTAAGTGGAGCCTAAAACCAAACTCATTCACATACATATGATATAAGACATTACATCAAGTTAATGATTAATATTAATCCTGTCGCTCTGTCGTCTGAGATAATTGAATCCCAGAAGAAGTATAATATTCTGTGACTGCAGGGTGTGGAGGGTTCTGATATATAAGAGGAGAGTATTCAATAATAATGATTATGTAAGCTTCCTTAACAACGCCACTTATCATCGTAACCAGCTGAGTCGAGTGTACCCGAAAGGGCAGCGTGTTGACTCATCGAACTACGACCCAGTCCCAATCTGGAACACAGGATCACAGCTCCTGGCTCTCAATTACCAGACCCCAGACAAGGCCATGCAGGTGTACCAGGGACGCTTCCTGCAGAATGGAAGGTAGGATTTGTTCTTTGGCAGAGACATAGAAGAAGGCTTTGTCCACCTGTTTTGTAGAATCGAAATAATGAGTCATTTAGTAAATCTTAATGCACTGAGCTAGTGCCTTCTCTTTTTCTGGACTCATTATTATTTGATGTAGCTTATTCTATGTAAAATATCCTTATTGTCATGTTATTGTTTTCCTTATTTGTCACTGTAGCATATCTTTATTTGTCACTGTAGCATATCCTTATTTGTCACTGTAGCATATCCTTATTTGTCACTGTAGCATATCTTTATTTGTCACTGTAGCATATCCTCATTTGTCACTGAAGCATATCCTTATTTGTCACTGTAGCATATCTTTATTTGTCACTGCAACATATCCTTATTTGTCACTGCAGCATATCCTTATTTGTCACTGCAGCATATCCTTATTTGTCACTGCAACATATCCTTATTTGTCACTGCAGCATATCCTTATTTGTCACTGCAGCATATCCTTATTTGTCACTGCAGCATATCCTTATTTATTGCTGTAGCATATCCTTATTTGTCAGAGTAGCATATCTTTATTTGTCACTGCAACATATCCGTATTTGTCACTGCAGCATATCCTTATTTGTCACTGCAGCATATCCTTATTTGTTGCTGTAGCATATCCTTATTTGTCAGAGTAGCATATCTTTATTTGTCATTGTAGCAAGGGGCGGTGGGGTAGCCTAGTGGTTAAAGCGTTCGCTCGTCACGCCGCGGACCCGGGTTTGATTCCCGACATGGGCACAATGTGTGAAGCCCATTTCTGGTGTCCCCCGCTGTGATTTTGCTAAAAGCGGTGTTAAACCATACTCACTCACTCACTCACTGTCATTGTAGCATTTCCTTATTTGTCACTGTAGCATATCCTTATTTTCTGCTATAGCATACAGTATCTTTGTCCTTATTGGTTATTGTGGTATAAGCTGTCACTGTGACATATCCTTCTTGTCGCTGGGACAGAACTGGGTCAGCTGTGTGTAAATATCACTGGACATGTCCCCTATTCCACCTTTGGGCTGTTCGTAATGTAGGACAATGAATTTGAGAATGAAAGAAACAAATCTGAACTTTCAAGGATATATCTTGTACACCGTATCAAGTTGAAGAAGTTAATAATTAGATCTATCCCTGATCTGCAGCAGCGAAAATGAGAATCATTGAATGAAATCTGAAGTTTGGAAGATCGAGTTTATTGCTCTGAGAGACTGACCCTACCACAAGTGTGTCATGAATAAAATCGAGATTCCAAGAGAAGGGAAACATTGCTTACATACCTCCCAGGGTCAAAGAGATTTCAGTTCCTGAATATAATCATGTTCATATCAAATATTGATCAACACTTATTCGTGAAATTAATCTGTTATCTTAAATTGGAGCCAGGGGTATCCAAGCTAAAGGAATATGCAGGATTTATCCTAAAGGAATTAGGTTAAGATCACTTCCATACAAATGTGTGCTTTTAACAGTAAAATTAATGGTGGACTGATTTAAGAATTTCCTTGTTCCAAGAAATTTACAAGTTTACATTAGATATGGCATTGACTGTGGAACTTTAGTGGAGATGTGACAGAAATGATGTTCCTAATTGGGAAAAGACAGTGTATGTTTAGGAATCTTTGTTGCTGACAGCATCTGCATGATATTTAAGTACTTTGTCTAGACTCTCACCCAAATAACTTTACTTGTAGCGCCATGAGCATACCAGCTGGCATGGAGATTGGCGCGTTACAAATTCACTCATTATTATTATTATTATTATAATATAAAAACATAAGCAAAACCTTTTGAAGAAACTTACTGGTGTTGGACTTCCAATAACACTAAATGTATAGGTAATGCTACATGTGTCAGAAGGCTTCAGTTTAGAGCTGAGCAGCAATAGTTTAGCCTACATGTTATGATGATAGTTATTTTACATTTATAGAGCAAAACCTGCAATTTAAATGACACAATACTATAATATATTTCTCTTTATCAAATAATAGTTTCAGATACTATATTTTTAACATCACTGCATTAGAATTCTTCTTGTTATATTATCGGGTACGTTTTAACTAAATCACCGGTCGTCTTCTCCTTTTTGTTCACGCAAAGCGATGTTGTTTTCTTACCCCCCTGAAAAAAAGTTTGACGAAAGTGTAACCCATAGCTAAGCTGACCCCGTTCTACTGACTGCTATTTTTGGTCCTCAAAATTTGGCTTATCTACATTAATGTACGATACATTGTAAGTGCCTGGCAATGTCTGTACATTCTAGACACAAGTAATTAGCTCTCTTGAATGTTAAAGATGCAGTGTTTTATCACTCTTACCTGCATGGACCGCCTCCGTGGTGTAGTGGTTGGAGCGTCCGCCCGGAGAGTGGAAGGTCGCGGGTTCGATCCCCCGACTGTCATACCAAAAGACGTTAAAATATGGTACTTGTTGGTCCCTGCCTGGCGCTAGGCATTAATGGGTACAACAAGGACTGGTCGGTTCAGAGTCAGTATAATGTGTCTGAGTGGGGTATTCATGCTTCACTGCGGCATGTTATCTCAGTGGGCTAGCACTATAAAACCAGCTTCAGTCTGGGCTAGTACAAGCAGCCGCACATACCCATACACACGCATGCACGTCGTCATATGAGCGAAATATTCTCAAGCACAACGTTAAACCCAATTTCACCTCACCTTACCTGCATGATTACTCTGTAATGACACTGAGTACATACTAGTATTTAAAATCATTTATCAAGGGGTCATAATCATGCACATTTTTGAAATTGTATGTTAATAAAGCTCTTTGTCAGTCATTTTAAAGTGTTCATGATGCAACTTAAATATTGCTGACTGCAGCCAGTGTGCGAAATAGTTACCAAATTTTGCTATCCAGTCAGGCTAGCTATGCCTGAAAGTTACTAGCTAACAAAATAATTCACTTGCCTGAAATTTGAATGTAGAAACTAAACAAAAGATTTCACAAATAGATGAGAATAAGACAATGTTGGCATAACAAGTTTCATCATTAAGCTGCTTATAAGATGAACATTTTAATCAGGCCATATTCATGCCTGTGTATTATAACTTAACAAGTTGGAGAGAGTGATATATTTACAAAATCACCCCATGAAAATTCACTAGCCAGTCGGACAGTGGTTGGAGAATTACTGACCCAGTTGGATTTTTACTAGCCACAGGCTAGCAGGCCAGTAGCTATTTTGCACACTCACTGCAAGCATGAGTGATACACCCCTTATCTTCTGGTTGCAGGTGTGGCTATGTTCTGCAGCCAGAGGTGATGAGGAAAGAGTGCTTCAACCCCTACAAGAAATTCCTCTCCCAGCTTGAAGTAGAGCCTCTCGCACTCACAATCAGTGTAAGTACCTTCTCACTGCTTCTAGTATCAGAGCAGTTCCTAGCCTAGTGATTAAAGCGTTCATCACCTGAAGCCCCAGGTTTCATTTCCCATATAGGTTCAAGTGTAAAGCACATATCTGCCATGGTATTGGTGGAATATTGCTAAAAGTGGTGTAAAACCATGCTCATTCACTCATTCCTTGTATGATTTAAGAAACTATTATTTCAGTAATGGGTGTATTTGTTGTTTCATCCTTCGCACTTTAATTATATAATCTTGGAAAAGTCACTGATACCTGTAGATCAGACGTCTCAGACATTGCAATTAACTTTTCAGAGTTATCTCCCTTAGGTGTGGCAGAAATGTGTTTGGTCTGAATCTCAGTTGACCATGATTATGCTTTGTTGGCCAGGCCCATAGCTGTGTTCATGGGTTTCTTTGAAGAGGTCAATGTCTAAAGCGAGGATTTCTTCGAACTTTCCTCCAGAATGAGGCTGACAAACTGGTGTAATTGAAATGAGTTCAAAGCAGCATCAACCAATGAAAATCTGGATTGGTCTTCAGCAACCAATGCATGTCATAAGAGGCGGCTAACAGGATAGGGTGTTCAGGCTTGCTTACTTGGTTGACACATGTCATTGTATCCAAGTTGCGTACATGAATGTCTGGACGCCTCATCCCTCAAGAACCCATGAAGATCAGGATTAGAATTGGTCTTCAGCAACCCATGCTTGTCGTAAGAGATGACTAACGGGATTGGGTGGTCAGGCTCGCTGACTTGGTTGACACATGTCATCGGTTCCAAATTGCATAGAATGATGCTCATGCTGTTGATCACTGGATTGTCTAGTCCAGACTCAGGTATTTATGAACTGCCGCCATATAGCTGGAATAATGCTGAGTGTGGCATTAAACAACAAACAAATCCAGGGTTCGAAATACCCCATATATTAGTGTGCCATGGCACAGTAAATATTGAAATGGCACGGCTGAAATATGTTCCCTGTGCCCTTTTGACATGCCTTATTTTCTAGACACATAACTCACATTTAGTCATTTAATCCCCAAAACAATTTTTTTCCAAACTGAATAATACCATACATATCTGAATGCTTATAAACCCATTTCTTTATTCAACAATAAATTTCAAATGATCATGATCATTGTCATTTATTCTACAAACATGTGGGCATACTTGATTTCTGAAAGGCACACCTAAAATATTTGTCTGGTGCCCTAAGGCACACTTAGAAAAAAAAGTATTTCTATCCCTGAAATCAAAGAGACATCAGCCCCAGCTTACTCCCATCTCTCACCATGTATTCCCTCTCTCCAGATTATTGGTGCCCGTCACCTGGTGAAGTCAGGGCGTGGTATTGCAAGTCCATTTGTTGAAATTGAAGTCATGGGAATCGAATGTGACAATCAGAAGTTCAAGACAGGAACTAAAGGTAATATTGCAGATGTGTTTACAGATAGATCCCGGAACTGATTCTCGGTCCATAGCAGCATGTACTGATCATAAGAAGCGACCATATTGATCAGACTCATATTTGTTGATTGTCAATCATTGCCATCATGTCTCAACAGGAATTGTTGGTTATGAATTGATCATAGGATTGTCTTGTCCAGATCAATTTATTTATTAGATGTCACTTAATTTGAGTATTCTGTGGCATTAAACAACAAATTTGATGAAGGTGCTGCAAAGGAGAAGTCCAGTCACAGCATTGCTGTGCCACCATGTCATGTCATAAAGTTGTATCAAATGTCAATGTGGTTAGCCTTTTAGTATTTTTAAACAGGTTTGGTGAAAGAAGTATTGCCACACTTTATGCATATATTCAGTCAGATAGAGGACACTGTCGGGATCCGGTGGTCAGGCTTGCAGACTTGGTTCACACATGTCATCGTAATTGTGTAGATCGATGCTTCTGCTGGCAGCAACTGAATTAGGTTGTCCAGACGCAATTATTTACAAACTGCCATCATATACAGTCCGTTTGGCTCAAAAGCAGACCGATGAATTGCAATCTAACTCAAAAACTAGTAGACATAACATACTCAATGAAACGCTGATCATAATCAAAACATCATACCCACTCTGTGAGGTTTTTGCAGAATTTTTTTCCTAAAAACCAAAAAGTTGTTTAATAATCTATCATTAAAATATTGACACAGTTCACTGTTTGTTATGAGGGAGGAGTGCAGAGAAAGGGACAGCCAGGTGTTCGAGAAGCACGTTCACAGACAAAGTTATTTATTCATTAACCTGTGCTGTGCCGTCTCCATCCGTTCTCAAACACCTGGCTGTCCCTTTCTCTGCACTCCTCCCTCGTAACAAATAGTGAACTGTCTCAATATTTTAATGATATATTGTTAAACAACTTTTTTATTTTTAGGACAAATATTCTGCAAAAACCTCACAGAGTGGGTATGATGTTTTGATTATGATCAGCGTTTCATTGAGTATTTTATGTTTATTAGTTTTCGAGTTAGATTGCAATTCATCGGTCCGCTTTTGAGTCAAACGGACTATAGCTAGAATATTGCTGGGTGCAGCATTAAACAACAAGCAAACAAAATATACCTTTTCATTTCATGCCTTTTTCATATAAATACGTATTTGAAGTTATGGTCAAACTGTCTCCTGAAAATCAGATCTTAGTGCTTGCTTCTGCTACACTAGGACCTTTCAAACCAAGGAGATTTTTGGTTAGAAATGGTCTTCAGTAATCTATCGGGACCGGGTGATCAGGCTCGCTGACTTGGTTGACACATGTCATCGTATCCCAATTGTGTAGATCAATGAATCACTGGATTATCTGGTCCAGAATCGATTACAGTAGAACACGGATATAACGAACTCCAAGGGACCACGAAATTTAGTTCGCTATATCCGGTGTTCGTTATTCACATTTGACCGCCTTCTTGGATTGTAGAGATGTAGAGACACGTATACGCTGAGGCTACAAATATTTATTCTTGTACATGTACATTGACATAACATTAAAATTCTGAATTTATCATTCACAGACATTAGCTAGAACATGTTTAACAATCACAACAATCTCAACAATACATGTATATAACTTAATTACGTTTAACAAAGTCCACAATTTTGGTCTGCACACCACGTCTTGCAGACTTCATTTTGTCGACTGCATCACAGACATCTGCAAGAGAGTCGAAGATAGAGCTATCTGTACCTTCACAAACAAGTAGATGACGTAGTGTCTCTAATGCTGCATTGGCCTCAGCAAAGGATGGCTTCGTGCGAGGTTCATCATCTTCACTATCGGAGTTGGGAGCGGGTGTGACAGTGGGCGTGGCACACTGCTGGGCTACTGACGTCACAATCTCGTCTTCAGTAGGGCGTTCGGCTGTAACATCTTGATTGTCAGCATTGATGAAGTCGTCCAATGTGACATCTGCCGGGATTTCTTCTGCTTTATCTGACAGTTCATTCCACATAACTCTGAGGTCGGAAAGAACCATGTTGTCTGTCTCATCGTCTGACGAACCTTCATCTCGTTTAGGAAGGACAAAGCCTCCCTTCCGATAGCAGTTGGCGATCGTGTTAGATTTGACCTGTCTCCAAGCGGCATGAATCATCTGGATGGCATCAAGGAGAGTGATTTGATATTCTTTCTTCTGATCATAGGCAGTCAGCATTTTCCTCATTACCTGGCCCTTGTACAGTTGTTTCAGGTTTGCTATTATACCCTGGTCCATGGGTTGAATCTTACTCGTAGTGTTCGGTGGAAGGAAGACAAGTTTGACGTGTGTCAGGTGTTTCACGACAGGATGGGCAGGACAATTGTCTACAAACATCAGGATCTTACGTTTTTGTCTTGTCATACTCTTTTCCAGGTTTTTGATCCATCCTGTGAATAATTCACCTGTCATCCAGGCCTTGGTATTTGATCTGTAAGTTACTGGCAAACTGCGTACATTTTTTAAGCATCTAGGCTTTGCTGCCTTCCCGATCACTAACAACTGTAGTTTTTCACTCCCGGACATGTTTGCCGCTACCAACAATGTTATTCTCTCTTTAGAATTTTTTCCACCACTGCATTTTTCAGATTTCAAGTGAAGAGTTCTGTTTGGTTTCATTTTGTAGAAGAGGCCAGTTTCGTCAGCATTGAAAATGTTATCAGGCTTGTACTCTTCAAGATATCCAGGCAGGCGAGTTTTCAGCCAATCATTGACGAGGTCCGGGTCAACAGATGCACTTTCCCCGTGACTTGATTTACATACGATGCCACGCCTCTGTTTGAATCTGTCAATCCAAGCACTACTGCAATTAAAATCTAAATGACCTAACTTGGATGCCAATTCATTTGCCTTAGTCTGCAACATGGGACCATTTAAGGGAATGTTCTCACTTCTAGCCCCTTGAAACCATTTGTAGAGAGCATCTTCTACGTCTTGGTGATTGGCAGCTCTCAACTTTTTGCGGGCGGGGCCATAATCAGTTGACACAGATTTTGCAAGAATCGATTCGCGATTCTTAATGATGGAACTGAGAGTGGATTTTGGAATGCCAAAGTCGTAAGCAATGTTTGTCTTAGATTTCACACCTGAATCTACAGCCTGAATTATCTGAAGCTTGGTGTCAAAAGTGATGGCTTTACGTTTGCCTGCCATAGTGACGAGAGTGCACTCGGAAGACCTGTGTACCAGTCAAGCTTTTAAACACGACATGTTTGTTTTGATAAACACGTTAATGACCATCGAACAATGTTGATTCGCCGCCAACAAGGTTGATGTATACCGCTAAGTGGCTGAGCTGACACTGAGCTGACACTGAGTGAGTTCGCTAATCACGTCGTTAGTTGGGCTTGGGGGGTAGTAAATCAGTTCGCTATAGCCGTTAATTCGCTACTCACGAGTTCGTTATTCGCGTATAATTTTAATGATATTATAAAGGACTGTTGACGGGACTTTTAAATTTGTTCGCTATATCCGTTTGTACGCTATATCCGTGTTCGTTATATCCGTGTTCTACTGTATTTACAGTCTGCTGCCATATATCGGGAATATTGCAAAGTGTGGCTAGAACTAGGCTCACTCACTCACTCACAAGGACCTTTCACGAACTTTGACCAATGAAATGACAAACAGGAAATCAACGGTAGTCATCAGAAAGAACATTTCTCAAGTGGACTTCCTGGTTTAGACTTGTGATTGCTCTTTGAAAACTATTTTACAAAGTTTTCAGTTCAAAATTTACTGAACTAAAAACAATCCAAATATCTAATCTGGTCAAAATTGTGTGCTTGCACTCCTTACCAGCTATAAAAATCTTCTGTTTCAAACATTATCCAGTTGACGTGAAAAAGGATGATAATTTTGGATGGAAATGGTCTTTCCACCCACAACTACTGTCGTTGAGAACGCCTCATGCTAACCTTTCGAAGGTATCATGATCAGAAACTACATTTAGACTGTACCTTATCCAGCCGGGTTATCAGGGCTTTGATTGGTTGGAGGAAAGGTCATGCTGACCTTACCTGTAATCAGATATTGTCAGGTCCATGTGGAGCTGAAACATGATCCAATTTAATGAGACTGAACATTGATTAGATTTGAAACCACAATCAAATCAATCAGAAAATGGGATTTTAAAATGCCATGCTGCTGTTGATAATACAAGCAATATGACACCTTGATGGATGAAGTAAGAAGAAATGTTAACCTTTGAAAAGTGCTCGATTTCAAATCATTCTCTCACGTATCCTGTTGCACCTGCCATCAAATGTTATCAGCTGCAATGACGAGTCATCTGTTTCTGTACAATTGATTTGGCTGTCTGTTTCTATGGCAACTGAGTTGGGTGAGAAAATGTGGAAATGTCATTTTACTACTTTTTGTGAAATTGAGCTTATTATAAACACAACAGTGTTGTGTATGTGCCAAGTATTATCTTTGTCCTCGGTATTGTTATGGTTTCTGAAATATGTTTTTGCAAATGTGCCATGTTACATGTGAGAGTTTTGGTGATGATTGTGTGACTGGGGTTCTGTATGTTTCAGTTGACAATGGTTTGAATCCGGTGTGGAATGAGGGGTGTATGTTTGATATCTACTGCCCCGAGATGGCTCTCATCAGGTTCGCTGTCATGGATGAAGACATTTTTGGAGATCCCAACTTCCTTGGACAGGCCACCTTCCCTGTGCCAGGCCTTCGCTCAGGTGAGAAACAGAGTGGGAGGGGACATCAGTCAGGTCAGACAGGGAGGGGGTTGGGGACATGACCCAGGATAGATACAGAAAGGGAGGGGGGCAACGCACAGGCCAGACAGGGATGGGGGGGCAGCACAGGCCAGGACGGGAGGGGACAACGCACAGGTCAGACAGGGAGGGGCAACACCGAGGTCAGACAGGGGGGGGGGCACAGCACAGGCCAGACAGGGAGGGGGCAACGCACAGGCCAGACAGGGAGAGGGGCAATGCACAGGCCAGACAGGGAGGGGGGCAAGCACAGGCCAGACGGGGAGGGGGCAGCACAGGCCAGACAGGCCAGGAGGGCAGCAGCTCAGGCCAGACAGAGCCCAGGGGGGCAACAGACAGGGAGGGGGCAACAGACAGGGAGGGGGGCAACACCCAGGTCAGACGGGGAGGGTTGGCAATACCCAGGTCAGACAGGGAAGGGGTGGGGGACATCAGTCAGATTGACCCAGGTTAGATAGAGAGAGGAGGGGACATGACCCAGGTCATACAGGGAGAACGTGGGGCACATGACCCAAGTCATACAGGGAGAAGGTGGGGGACATGACCCAGGTCATACAGGGAGAAGGTGGGGGACATGACCCAGGTCATACACAGAGAAGGTGGGGGACATGACCCAGGTCATACAGGGAGAAGGTGGGGGACATGACCCAGGTCATACACAGAGAAGGTGGGGGACATGACCCAGGTCATACAGGGAGAAGGTGGGGGACATGACCCAAGTCATACACAGAGAAGATGGGGGACATGACCCAGATCATACACAGAGAGGGAGTGGGGACATGACCCAGTTCATACAGGGAGAAGGTGGGGGACATGACCCAGACGATACAGGTGGGGGACAGTTCATGAGAGGAGACAGGAGGGGACATGACCCAAATGAGACTCAGAGGGATGTGTTGGGCATACATGACTCAGATATGTTTGAAACGGTCATTTGATTAATCCTTGTCTTGACTTTGTTGGATTCAGTTGATTTATCTTTGCATTCTGCTGACAAGGAGTATTCAGTTGTCCTTGAAGCAAATGATATCATCCTTTGTTCTAGAGAGATCAAGTCTTTTGGAACAGAAAGAGAACATGACTTAAAATCATAAAGCACAGTACAGTATGTACTTTTTGATTGGACATGAAATCCTTAATAACATCCACATGAGAAACATTATGTTCATGAAGTGATTTTCTGGTGTGTGTCAAGGTTTCCGGAGCATTCCCCTGAAGAATGGCTTCAGTGAAGAACTGGAACTGGCAGCACTAATGGTCAGCATCGACATGAGGAACCCCAAGGTCAGTCACGTAAACGCTCGCATTCACTCTAAGCTTATGTGCCTCACTTAACAATGTTCTAGATTTACCCCGGAATGTGTCAATGTGAAGACTACTCACAGCTTGTACTGGATGTGTTACAGGAGGGGGAGGAGAGCGACATCTACGCCTCGATCCAGCAGCTGTGTGACGAGTCCGACAACCTGGAGGCTGTGATCGAGGACCTGGACCGACGCGGGGATAAGGAGTCGGCCAACATCAAGCGGGTCGAGCTGGAGGAGACGAAGGGGCTGCTGCTGGCTAAGAGGGAGGAGCGGAGGATGAGGAAGTAAGTCATCTCGGGGTCGGGGGACACCTGGATGGAGGGATTCCCGGATCGGGGATTCCTGGATGTGTGGACGTCTTGATAGGGTATTATTGGGTCTGGATCTTGGCACCCCTGGATTGGGAACTCCTGGATCTGGATAGGGGATTCCTGGATCGGGGGTTTATTGGGTTAAAAGGGTCCTCCTTACATTTGTTGTACAAGCTTACCAGATCATCCTCTGTTTATTTGGGTTGAACCCGTGAGGATCTAGGTTAGAATTAGTCCTCAGCAGTTAGAGGCAACGATGCTTGTTATGAGAGGTGTCTAAGGGGATCAGTATTATCATATCCTAACTGCATGGATTTTCACTGGATTGTCTGTCCAGAGTCCATTAATTACAGACCACCTCCTTGTATCTGTCGGGCAAATTTGGCTTCTGATAGGTCCCCAGTGACCTATTCTTTGTGTGTAAGCTCTTCCTTGGACTTCCTTTTCAAATGTGTGAAGCCAACTGCTTGTGTTGCTGGCCACAAGGTTGCTGTATTTCCCCCTGTGTGATATGGCTGGAATATTGTTAAAAACAGCATAAAACTATACTATTCACGCTAATCATTGAAAGCAGCTTTAAAACAAACTCATTCACTCACTCATGATCTAACAGGGCCGTGGGGTAGCCTAATGGTTAAAGCGTACGCTCGTCACGCCAAAGACCCAGGTTCGATTCCCCACATGGGTACAATGTGTGAAGCCCATTTCTGGTGTCCCCCGCCGTGATGTTGCTGGATTATTGCTAAAAGCGGTTTAAAACTAAACTCAAACACTCACTCATGATCTAACATTCATTGATCATGCAGTCAGTTACCGGTTTGCCTGTGTCAGTTATTTTCAAGGGGGTGGTGGGGCAGCCTAGTGGTTAAAGTGTTCGCTCGTCACACAGAAGACCCGGGTTCCATTCCCTACATGGGAACAATGTGTGAAGCCCATTTTTGGTGTCCCCCATCATAATGTTGCTAGAATATTGCTAAAAGCAGCGTGAAACTAAACTCACTTACTCACAATTTACAATGTATATTTATTGTCTGTTTGTACTTCCAGATCTGCCATCAGACATCAAATCATCTACAGACGCCAGTCAAACAACTGAAAGAAGCAGCCATGTTTGTTGTACCATAGGAACCACAGCTGTGTACAGCGGTCAGCCGAGTATGCATAGATTACGTCATGTATATATGGGTCAATCCGTTATGTCCATTTAATATGATATAGTATTCCTTGTGCAGAATATCCCATTTTGATGCCTCAAGTGTTCCTTACCAATGTTCATTATGATATCTGATCACCAGAGTGATACACATGCATGTTTGGGGCTGATGTTTCATGCCGGTTTGGCCCGGACCATGAATGCTACATGCAGTTGTTGGCTGTTGGAGTGAAACCTGCCCAAAACAGTAAGAGTCCGGTATGACCTTTTCACAGCCTGCCTTAGGTCCGAGATGAAGAAGGAAGGGAAGTCACACATGTGGCCAGTCCAAGGAACATGTGACACATGTGATCTGGTTTTCGATTGGAAGAAATGGCCTCTCCTTGTGATCATGGATGTGAAGCATCTTCATCTCCTGTCCAGCCTCATGTTGATAATCGGTCATAGTCTTCTGTCAGATGAAGTTACATTTGTATAATAATGCTTTTGGTAGCTCAGCACATCAGGAGCTGGTTGATGTTTGATATGTTTCATCTATTGTGTGGGTAAATGTTTGGGTCCAGTGTTTGGTGGGTTAAGGAAGTTCGATAGCCTCATTAGTCACATGTATATGGCTGCCGGACAAATATAAACGCAGGGGCGGATCCAGAAGTGAGGTGCGCACCCCCTCTCCCCCCAAAAAATATTTCCCTGAGGAGTGTTTCCCCTTAACCTTTGGACTTCATGATTTATGTGCACCCCCTTCTTCCTTGGATCCGCCCCTGTAAACATGAATAAGCCTTTTTTTTAACAAGATTCAGATGTCAAGTAACAAATGTATACACAGACCTAGTTTAGAATGGTCAGTTACTTGTATGTTGTTTGACTTTAAACTAATCCCAACCTACACAATCTTAGGCAAGGCCTTTGCATCTAATTTTGTACAGTTTTAAAGACAAATAGTGAAATTTATGTCAATGCAATCTTTGAAACTGAATTTTTACAGAATAACAAAAGACAAATAGTGAAAATGTATGTGAATGGGTCTCGGTAATGGGACAGTATATTTTGAAAAGAGAAAGGATGAGTAGCAAAATACAAACATAGGTTCTGATGAAATGTTATCCAGCTGAATTGATTAAGGAATATGAAATTAAAAGTCCCTTTACTCGAGAGACCAGACCTGAAGATTTTGTTTGGGTTGTGTGTATAGCAAGGAAGTCTTCAGTGGTCCATGACAAGACCAGTTGGATATGAGCTTAGTGATAACATTACATATGAACTGTGAACCCGTCTTTGTATGCAAGTCCCTGTTTATTACATAATGTAGATCTTATTGTGTCTTGTTCATCTGACACAATAGGCTTCAATGTTTTTTTTATTCATTCTTAGTCAAGACTATTTTTTGCTTATCTGAATATTATGAAAAGCGATTATTGTTTGAAAAGAATTTTGTACCTGTTCCCTGAAATGCAAGCCATAGAAAAAATGTGTATGCAAAATGTTAGATTATGAGACAACATGCTTAACTAACACTGCTCACTTTGGAACATTATGACTATTTTGTGTTCATGTTTTTTCACTTACTGACCAGGATTCTTCACAGAAAAATCCCCAAACCAAGATGTTATAGAAGTCTGGTCCAATGTTTTTTACATCTGTGTTCATGAATAAGCTGGGTCTCATGTAGCTCGATGTCCCATAGCCATAATATATAATATTGTGTCGTCATTGTTTTCCTATGCTTGAAAAGTTACTTTAGCAAACAGCTGAGATATTGCTGATATGGCTAAATCATTGTTTACTCGTTCACTCATTAAAAAGCTGATTGTTGGAGAGTGATATATGTTGTTGAAATGAAACCTACTGAATACTAGAAGTATTATGTTATGATCATTTCCCAAATGGTCCAAGCTTCTCACATGTGCCATAGTTAAGGACACGCTCGTTTAATTTTCATTAATGCTTATCAAAATTACTTCTTAGATTTTGCTCCACATTTGACAATAATAACAGATGGGTGAAATATCTTTGTTGCATATTTGTTTAATGCATGAGTCATATTAACTGTTGACAAATGTGATTCGCATAAAGCTCAGATGATTATTAAGTAAAAAGAACAAATATACCAATGTTCAGGGTGTTACTCAAAGTCTTCATTTGTGAGAAATTGTAGTTTTCAGATCTCTATTGGAGACATCAGTTCAGTGTCATATAATCTGTTAAGCGATCAAATACTGATTTGTCTGGTCCAGACTTTGATTACTTGCAGCATTTTGTGAAAATATTTATGAGTGTTGCATTAAAAAACAAGCACATACACATTCACCCTGTCAACCACCAGTTAGGGGCGGTGGGGTAGCCTAATGGTTAAAGCGTTCGCTCGTCATGCCAAGCTCCAGGTTCAGTTCCCCACAATGTGTGAAGCCCATATCTGGTGTACCCACTGTGATGTTGCTGTAATATTGCTAAAAGTGCGTAGAGCCATACTCATTTACTCAGGATAGATGGTGACAGTAAATTGATGAGGATAGATGGCAGTGAGATGGGTAGGGATGAAAATCTAATAATTAATTGTCATGACCGGAGTGCTCAAATTTCATGATTTGTCCTTTCAGAATATTCAATATGCGAGTTTGAGTGTATCTACCTACTGTATGATGTTAGGGTTCAAAGTGGATTATTGACCAAACTCACTCACCCACTAGAATGTTAGACATGTTCCGAGTTAGTCGACCTTCATCTCTTTATGCCGATCAGGACCAACAGATTCTCTTGTTGCCTTAATCCATGGATGACATTTGCGATAATTTGCCAAATATTTGTGATTGTTTCAGTGTTTTGTTGTCTTTTTTATTACGTATCTAGAAGTCTGATATTTGGTCCATGTACATGCTCTGTGTGTCAGTGGTGAGCTGTGCTGCCTGTTTATTGTAAACTAGCTCTACTGCATTTTCTCATGGCTTCCAACAATCTTACAAATATGTTGTAAAGTACAGCAGAATAGGTCACTTGCCCGAGGGAAATATACACAGCTGTTTTGGGGACTGTTTGGAGGATAGCAATTTAAGATGTTATCAAGAATTCAAGATGTTTACACGTCAATAAATTGGGTTTATTTCATTCATAGGGCAATAATATGCTTGTTATTTACATTGAAACTCTTCTATTCCATCTTGGAGAGCATGAGTCAGTATTGAAACCATGTTGAGTAATTAATGCTTAGAGAGGCCATGGTTCCTGTTTGTGAATTGTAGTGGAACCATGCTAACTGTATAATGCATAGTGAAACCATAGTTACAGTTTGCAATGCATAGTAAATTCAGTTACAGTTTGCAATGCATAGTTAAACCATGGGTCCAGTGCCCTTTTCAGAGTGAAACCATAGTAACTGTCTTATGTATAGTGAAACCATGGTTGCCGTTATGGAAATGTTTGTAATTATTGTCTTATTCGTCAAATGGCCTTCATCAACGCCTCATCTTTGTTCTGCCTAGAAAAGTGTGCATGATTAAATACTCATTAGAAGAATAGGTACATGATCATTAACTTACATTTCCGAAAAGAGACCCGTCATCATAACAAAGGAATAGAAAGTGGATGCCTGTGAATATTTCAGTTGAAACAATCGCTGTTGTAATGTTCTGTGCAAGGCCACATTGTTAGTAGCATGGGGGATCATTGCCATTGGATGTAAAGGATAGGAGTTATGATTATCAGATCTGTATGATGACCTTGTGGGTTCCAGGTGCCATTGTACATGGTAGGTCCTGTCTTTCACATGGCCCATCCCAGTGTCCCAGTGTACAAAGTGATTGGAGCACAACAAAAGTAATTTGGAGTTCTGTGTTAAAACTTGGGAGTTGCAATCACCGTAACGCTACGATAGCTTTGTGGAATGGACCCCTGTGATCCACGGTAGTGCAGATGAGTGGATCAGTATTAGGATCTGATGATTGTTGGTTTGAATCAGTGCCAGGATCTGCTAACTGTTGGTTTGAATCAGTGCCAGGATCTGCTGATTGTCAGTTTGTATCAGTGCCAAGATGTGCTAACTGTTGGTTTGAATCAGTGCCAGGATCTGCTGATTGTCGGTTTGAATCAGTGCCAGGATCTGCTGATTGTCGGTTTGAATCAGTGCCAGGATCTGCTGATTGTCGGTTTGAATAAGTGCTGGGATCTGCTGATTGTCTGTTTGAATCAGTGCCAGGATCTGCTGATTGTCTGTTTGAATCAGTGCCAGGATCTGCTGGTTATCTGTTAGAATCAGTGGTTGGATCTGCTGATCGTCAATTTGATTCCCACTTTTGCTCAGGTAACAATCCTTGGTAAGCTGAGATGTCCAATTTCATAAAAAAAAACACCCACAAAAGTATTCATTGTTCCTATGTTTTTTGGTCAAGATATCTCAATCAATGATCTCATTGAAACATGAAACTCAGATACACTTGTAGAAAAAAATCATTTAATTTCTGAAAAATTAATTGGGTCTCTTTTCAGATAAGAAGAGTGGATATTAAACAAAATCAAAAGAAAGATAGATTCAGTCGATAGTGAATCAAAATGTACTCACATGATTCTCATCGTTCTGCTACATTTGGAACATCAGTCATTCTCACATTTGCGTTTTGTCTCTTGTGTTGAAAAAAAGCATTAAATTGTATATGTTATTTTTTGTGATAAACCAAGTCAGCAGTATTTTATTTGTCATAGTGATGTTTTTGTAATCTTTACATATTATGATATTGGTGAATTTTGTGTTTTTGATGTGTAGAATTTATGAATTTATAATTGTCAGTATAGGTTGTTGAGACAGTAAGGCTAGAACTATGGCTATGTATGGAATTCAAGGTTGTATTCAACACCAATTTGCTTTTTCTTTATTCATTGAACAAGTACTTACTCCTGCTGTAGTTATTGTTCGTTGTTTCTTATACATTGTGTTTTGCTTTGGGTGAGGTGAGGTGAGGTGAAATTCGGTTTAACGTCGTGCTGGAGAATATTTCGCTCATATGATGACGTGCATGCGTGTGTATGTGTATATGCGGCTGCTTGTACTAGCCCAGACTTAAGCTGGTTTTATAGTGCTAGCCCACTGAGATACCATGCCGCAGTGAAGCATGAATACCCCACTCAGACACATTATACTGACTCCGAGCCGACCAGTCCTTGTTGTACCCATTAATGCCGAGCGCCAGACAGGGACCAACAAGTACCATATTTTAACGTCTTTTGGTATGATGTGGTCGGGGATCAAACCCGCGACCTTCCGCTCTCCGGGCGGACGCTCTAACCACTACACCACGGAGGCTGTCCGTTTTGCTTTGGGATGATCATTAAGGGTTAGGGTTGTTTGCTGGCCTAGTGGTTCAAGTGATGGTTCTTTAAAATGAGTGGGACAGTGTGGTGGCCAAGTTGTTAAAGCATTTGCTGGTCATGCCAAAGTCCAGGGTTGGATTCCCACTTGGTTACAATGTGTAAAGCCTATTCCTGTTGTACTCTGCTGTGAAATTGCTGGACTATTGCCAAAATTGGTGTAAACCCAACTCACTCACTCAAAATGAATATCGGTGCCATATTGGAACTGTGTGTACATCCTGTTCCTGATGTTCCTGTTGTAAATCTAAAAACATACTTTGGGCTCTAAAAACCCTGACTTGTCACATCCATGCTTTACGGCTAGAAAAAGACAGTTGAAATGGAACCTGTTGTCTGTGCTTTGAAATAAGTCTACCCCTGTTAATTCAGCTTATTCAAGTGTAGTTTATCACAGTAAACTATAACCATTTTGAAAAAGGTTCATTAACCAAAGTGTTTATCATTCTTTCAATTTTCAAAAGTGGTGTTAAACCTGCATACCCTTACAAGAACAAGATGATGGGTAGAAACTCGCTAAGTCTAATGACAGCCCGTGGGATGTAGCCATACCTAGTGTTAGTACAGGTATGCTTCTATCATTTTTGATATCTAAATACAGACAAAGCCAGCAATATGACTTTGTCAATAGTTGAGCTTAGTTAGACTATGTTACACAACATTGAAAGTATTTTGGAGGAACTTTCTGACATAAAATTATTTGCTATATATTCCGGTTAAGAGAGCTTTACATATTCTACAACCATGAACTGACCAGAATGTTTATATGTCTACATGGATAACTCTACAGTTGATGTTAAAGCATAATGTCTTTCACATGCTTGCTGAGGAAGAAATATTTGTTATGCCATTTTTACAATTTTTGTATTCTGATTACGAAGTATGCCTCGCCTCCCTGGGTGGACTTACTGGCATATTATATTGTTATGAAACTTAGTCCCAGTATAGTCATTACGGGTGAAACGGTATACTGCTGTATTAGTAGAACCACCGTATTTTGCCTTCTGTTCGGTATACCGTAATGCAATCCAAAAATTTGGTATTTTCGGTTTACATACCATCATTTCTGTCTAGTTTTGTTCATTCAAAATAACGAAGATTATGGTTATGTATTTTCCATGTTATTAAACAATGTAAGGTTTGACAATTTTCTGCATTATGATCATATCTCACATACTGAAACGGACCGAACCGAAGGCCTTGTACTGTGGTAAGAGCGTACTGTTTCACTCCTAATAGTCATATATCTGTTGCTCTGATCCAATTCCTCATTTCCTGGGGATGTTTCAGACTCTCCATAGGTCATTTCAGATAACTTTCTTGTCAGGTAGTCAGGCTTCCAAATTCCTTGTGTGTTTAGCATATCCAATTTCTGTGTCTTGAAAATGGTCGTATTGGGCCATTTCAGAATGTAATTGATACGGGCAGCACCATTTTAAAATTGTTCAAACATCAGATCAGCCCTTCAAGTTAAGATGCCCACACCCAAAATCCAGTACCAGCAAATGGATACTTGTGCTCTGTGTGGCTTTACATGTGTTGAAATCAATTTTTCCAAATCAACTTAAACAAATGAAGCCAAATCATTTTAGAAAACTGACACCTGATTGGCTCAAGAACCTGTTGAGATTTATGAATCCAAGTTTGATGTGGGTTCACCTGAAGAGACCAATGGATGTTTCCTGGGATCATCTTGGAGAGAGGTATTCTGGTGGAGTAAAATGTCTGAAAATAATAAGACTGTTCCATGGAAATTTTCAGTACCATTTTTATAAGACTGTCCTCAATCTGTCAGCCTGAGTTATATGTGAATATCCCTGTCCGACAGTGAGTTGTACATTTCATATCTTGTTGTCCAGGAGCTGTTGTCCTCTGCTCTGTGTGAAGTGATTAGATGATTGTTAAGGTATCATCTTCTTTGTCCTTTCTCTGAAATACAAGATGACAAATGACAGTGTTTATATCGATCCTGTTAAAATTGAGTAATATTGTTAGACTTTGTCAGTTTGTCCTTAAAAATGTGTTGTGAAATGAGATTGTTTAGCTATTGGAACTATGGGGAAAAACCTACAAGTTTTTAAAGCAATGTTTGAAAAAATGTCCTATTTGTAACACCAAGTCTTTGTTAGATGAAAACCAGAAACAAAACGCTGTTACTTGCAATTACACTAAGAACCAAAGCTTTATAATCCTTTTGTTCATATATAATTGACTTAACTAGCAGCCCTGATTCCTTTCATAAACAATATTTTGTCTTATTTCTTGAAGCCAAAATATTTTGTTTTAATAATTATCTGGTTTAGATATTCATTCATAGCAAACATTAAAAACGAATTCCTTTGTCAAAATCAATTATGAAATAATATTCATTGAAATATTCAATGTTTGTGAGATTTGTACTGTAAGATGCACGATATGATTTTTTATGGCGACAAGTATTGTTAGAAGACATAATGTAATGAGAATGGCGATCATATTCTACTGTTAAGTCATAATAATTTCACAATATTCTCACAGTTTAGAAGCACTGGAGAAAGCTTGTGATGTGTGTTGGACATATTTTGTTTTGGTATATAAAGTTTGTACAGCGTGTAAATAACCTTTTTTCACATTTCATGTAAATAACACTAGTGCTGATTTCTACAAGAAGTTTGAAATAGATGGGGTTTTATTGATGTCCTATATGTTACAGATTAAATGCAATCTCATTCCGATATTTTACTCAGATAGCTCATTGACATCAGAGGACAACTCTGTAGGAATAGGCATCATGAAAACTATCATAATCAGGCAGTTCTGAATGCAAATAATAACTACATACAATGGCAACAACACCCAAGAGGGTAAAGGGTGTTCAGTTTTGTTCAGAGTGGAATTACTTCTATTAAGATCAAATTTTCTTATTGAAACAAATGAAGTGAAATGATTTCAGAAAGCTGATTAGTGTTTGGCTGAAAAACTAACCCATACCTCATTCATATTAGAGGTCAAAGTTTGCTCAGTTTCACAAGTCAAGTCTGTCTGTGGAAGTTTCATCAGATTTTCACATGAGCTGTTGTGTACATGTATCTGGGAAACAGATCTATTGAATGAGATTGCATTTAATAGCATCATGTAAAGCTGTTACGAATTCATCAACAAATAAACTTAGAATGTTAAAGATGTTTACAGATTGGTCACAAGTCTGTTGAGGCAATTCCATTATCTCAGTTATGCCAAAACATTGCTGCTGCCACAGTTACATGTCCCCTTTCTACACCATTATGCACATTTCATAAATGTCTAGTTGATTGTTGTAATTCACAGATGATTTTTTTAGAATTAGAAAAATGTTACATACAATTGTTTTCTTTTGTAAATATGATAGAACATTAAAAATCGGAATGCTTTCTAAAACTGGAGAATGTCAATGTCAGTTTCAGTTTTGCATAGGAGATGTTTCTCAGACATCAATAACTGTGAATGCTAAGACTTTGGGATGAATAGGTGTATTTTGTTCTGTTAAGATGCTAACGCTATACTCAGATACGATTCGGCTCTGAATGAAGATCTGACCATTAGAGGCCTGTCCGGTGAACCTTTCAATCTGCATGTCAAGGCCTCCTACATGTCATGAGTGAGTAAGTGAAGTTGATATTCTATTAGTAAATGAAAAGAAGAACACATTTCTAATTTGGAAGGACATTGAGTTTAGTGTTAGCTGTTACTGGTTCAACACTTTCTTCTGGCAGAAGATCCACTAATCTTGGGGCATTGATTGTCAAATTTTGTGTATATCCACAATTAGTTGATAGTAATTGTTTGCACATTCTTGGGACCACACATGCATTTATACATTTATCTAAAGTAATTTTATGGGCTTTCCTTCAAATTTCGTTGTTGTTTTATGTCAGATTTTTAAATCAACAAATAAACTTACAAGGCACTCTGGTCACATTCATAGATTACTTTGTCAAAGCTTCAGAATACTTTAATACAAGGATAGCTATGTCTCACATTGACAACTGTTGTATTGTCATGTTTTCAAATAATGACAAAAGTCCTTACAATGATCACAGGATACACCTCAGGGGTGGAAATAACTTTCAAATTGCTAGTGTACTCCGGAACAGTGGCACATGTAAAATCACTTGCCCTGATAATTTTTCCACTATACCGGCTGTTTTCTTGTTGATTTTTTAAAATAAACAACATAATTAACATTGGAAAGTCAAATGGACACCGGTACAGTGTGATATACAAATTTACTTGCCCGACAGAAAAAAACACTTGACTCGGACGTCGGGCAATGGGTTATTTCCACCCCTGCACCTGCTAATAGCAAAGCCCATTGTTTGATTTGAACTTTATTGTACATGTGTTATTTAGTCAAAATGAAATTGTCATGATGCCAAGTATTTATGAGACTATGAGAATCACACACACAAATCAATTGCTCACCTGAAACACAGGATCAGATTCATGATATGAATTGGAATTACATCTGCCATTATTTAGGTCACAATGCATCAAATTTGAAAGTATCAACACATTACTTAACCAAGACGGGTTGTTCTTTTAGGGTGATTATTTGTAGAAAATAGCTAACAGCATGTGACAAAACATGAATATCACATTTATTGATACTACAGAAACCATCCTTAGAAGTGGTGTTTGTCATCACCTTGAAAAATGGTGTGTAGGTAAAATTCTATTTTTATTTCAAAGGAGAAACATCATGTCCCTTCAAGGCTTTTAAACCTCCAGCTTCATAACATAACAGTAAAAAGTGCAAATTTTAAATATGGATAAAACTCAGCAATGAACTGGACCAAATTTGATGTGAGAATCATTGATACCAGGATGTGGTTAAGATGCAAGATTATTTCATATGGCCTAACAATGATTTGATGATTATGTTGATAATATGAGCAGACTTGCCACAATGACTGGTGGTTGATCTACCTCCAGAATCAGTTGCTGGTTACGAGTGTTTTCACCCATGTAAAGATTGACACACAGATTGAGGGACCAGAATATCACCTCATAAACTAGCAGCAACTTGATTAGGACCTGAAGAAGTTCCACAAATATCCTGGACTAAAATTGTAAATGAAAAGGTGTGGGACCGTAATTTATTTGAGATTGTATCAATCTGTCGAGGAGAAATGTTTATGCTTTGAGTGTTCATCTTGAGAGGCTGCAACCACTAGAAAGCTATATCGAAGATACTAACTTTTACCTACACCTATCTGTAGAGTTGGTTCCGTATGTTTCCTATCCGTGGTTATGAAATGTTCACAAGTATTTACGATTGTCACATATGTACTATATGTACTTTATATATGTATATTATGAACAATGAATGTTTATATATACATTATTAATACTTACATCAAGAACTGATCCCAAACCACATGTTAATGATAAAACGATCTCAAAGGATTTTAAAAGCAAACTTTACGTACATGCATGACACCAGTGCGTCAGGGGATTTATCCAGCTGTTGCTGCGTGTGTATGTTGTAAGCATACTGATAATGTCTCGGATTTTCAATAGTAAGTTTGGGGAAAAGTTTCGTGGAAGATTTGAAGACTTATATGTCATTTTTGCCTCTTGACTTTGCAAAGCAATCTTAACACATGGGACAATAAGTTGTTCTGTTTGAGATTTACGTTACATATTGTCAAAATAACAAATGTAGTCATATTGTATTAAAGATCTATAGTAAATTCTTACCGAACTACACTGTTAATAAATTACAGGATGATTATTGTTGAAGAATAAAGTATTTGTGCATAATGAAAACCAGTTATTTGTACTTTCTTCTATAGTATTTAAATTCCTGACAAGCTTTCTCATGCTTGTTGTGAAAACCAATTGATTGTACTGTCTTTACCCTCGTAAAGTTGTTGACAAGCTTTCTCATGCTTGTGAAAACCAGTTGATTGTACTGTCTTTACCCTCGTAAAGTTGTTGACAAGCTTTCTCATGCTTGTTGTGAAAACCAGTTGATTGTACCGTCTTTACTCTCGTAAAGTTGTTGACAAGCTGTCTCATGCTTGTTGTGAAAACCAGTTGATTGTACCGTCTTTACTCTTGTAAAGTTGTTGACAAGCTTTCTCATGTTTTTGGTGAAAACCGTCTAATTGTACTCTTTCACATTTGTTAAGTTGTTAACAAGTTTTCCATGCTTTTTGTTGAAAACCGCCTAATTGTAATATTTCACCTTGTTTAGTCGTTGCCCTGCAACTTTCCGTGCTTGTGGTGAAAACCGTCTAATTGTACTCTTTACGCTTGTTATGTTGCTGACCTGCTTTCCGTGCTTCTAGTGAAAAAGGTTCATTTAACTTCTCATGTTTTCCTTGCTTTTGGTGAAAACCCGTTAGCCGTAAGTCTTTTGTCGCGGTTGAGTGCCTTTCCGTGCTTGTGGTTTTATGAGCATCAGATGAGGAGAGGACGTGGATGTGGTTGATTATGTGGCTTGATATCCTCGTCATTGCTCAAGACATCACCTTTCAACAGGCTGGAGTAACTAGAGGTTGACACAATGATCTAGGGAATCGTTGACAGCTACGTAAAACATTCACTCAGTGGGCAGACTGGATATGAGCTTTTGAAAGATTATGTCGAAGTTTGAGTTGTCATGGTCTGTTCGTGATCTTAAGATGACTTTTTTGGATTACCTCCCTCGTAGGTTATTCTTGACTAATATGGCTAAGATGGTGTTGGATGCTGTTTGGAGGCGGATGGAGATTTCCTTGCCCAGAGATACTTCTTGTGTCGCACACAGATTCAGGCTCACGTACACACCGGAGAGCGGTAGGTTGGTAAATTAATCTCCACCCCTGCATTCCAATTCAAATATGGCACTTGTTGTTTCCCTGGTTGACGATCGGGACGAGAATGAAATGCACATATAAAGCACGTGCTTCACAAAATTTAAAAGCTATAGATGGCAGGTTCATGTGCTGCGAAGGTGCGAATCATATTTGGAAATAATTTCACAATCGCTGTATTTGAGCTACGCCTTTCTGAACTGATTTAAAAGACAACAGTACTAAATATGATGTAGACTTTAAGAAAATACTTGATACCAAGTTGTGGGCATGCATGACCTGTCGCAATATCGGTACTAACTTGAACATTAACCATACGGTTATTTGTCGACTTGTGAGGAAGAAGGTGGCCATCGGTGAAGCAAAGGATCCTCCAAGGTCTGGGAAGCCAGTGACCGTGATGACCGAGTCCTAACAATAATAATAGCGAGTACTTTTATAGCTCCTGGATTGTCCGGTCCAGACTCGATTATTTACAGACCGCCGCCATATAGCTGGAATATTGCTGTGTGCGGCGTAAAACCGAACTCACTCACTCAGGGATATGCCCTAAGCGCATAACATATATACAGGTTCTATGGACAGGAAAGTTGGCGTTCACAGATATTTCTTGAAGAGGTGTGTTTTGAGCTTGGACTTAAACACTGGTAGTGATGGAGAGGTTTTAAGATCTGATAGTGGAGAGTTCCAGAGAGTGGCAGCAGCATGATCAAATGAATTTGCACCAAAGGTTTTGAGTTTGTACATTGAGACAACTAGCAAGAGTTGATCACTGGAGCGGGGAGATCTATCCGGTTTATACAGTGTTATCAAGTCCTGGAGGTATGCTTGGCCAATGTAATTAATAGACTGATAAAGAAGGCAGAGCAGTTTAAATTCGTCTGGCAAGATGCAATCCCATGCCCTATGCCAAAGAACTAGGAGTCCAACTTGCCATCAGTACCATCAGAAGGAGGCTGCAGGAGGCTGGTCTGAGGGAAAGGAAACAACAAGCAAGAACGTCTGGCGCGATACCATCTTCGAGCGTAAATTGATGACCATCTTCTGGTGAAGAAAACCGTAAATTGATGACATGGCGTAGGGTTCACTGGTCTGGTGAAAGTCGCTATCTTCTAAACGTTACAGGCAGATGTTGCGTATGGACACGTCGTAACGAGGCATATCACCAGGAGATTATCCAAGCAGCTGAACAATTTGATGGTGACTCAGTGATGGTTTTGGTGTTGCGTTTCATGTGCCTGCCAGTTGGATCTCAAAACAGTACCTGGACTCTCAGTGGTCAACCTTATCAGCAGGAAGTACTTCATACCGCCATCATCTTGTATTCGTTCGATATTCATCGACCTCAGACCTCACAGTTCTTGACCGTCATCGGCCACTTGCAGTACAACTCCATTCGAAACATCACCATGGCAGGCAAGGAGCCCCGTTATGAACCCCATCGAAACATCACCATGGCAGGCAAGGAGCCCCGTTATGAACCCCATCGAAACATCACCATGGCAGGCAAGGAGCCCCGTTATGAACCCCATCGAAACATCACCATGGCAGGCAAGGAGCCCCGTTATGAACCCCATCGAAACATCACCATGGCAGGCAAGGAGCCCCGTTATGAATCCCATCGAAACATCACCATGGCAGGCAAGGAGCCCCGTTATGAATCCCATCGAAACATCACCATGGCAGGCAAGGAGCCACGTTATGAATCCCATCGAAACATCACCATGGCAGGCAAGGAGCCCCGATATGAACCCCCTCGAACATCTTTGGGACTATCTTGGACCTCAAGTTCGAGCTTGACACCGTCCTGTTCAAAATCTGCTGATTTTCAAGTTTTTGTTTATTCCCCTCAAACTGCTACTGAATTGTTACAAATTTTCAATTTCATTTTGTTTTTATTTACTCTGAGTAAAATATGTTACAATTGCCATTTTAACAGAATTTGGTTTGCAAAGCATGTACAACATTCAGTTATTTCGTGCATATATATATAATTCACAAAACAAATAGGAGGAATATGTTTTTTCCGTTGGAGAATATATCATAAAACGAAAAGCATGATTATGGTTTCATCATCTTTATTGATTTAATGCTTTCGAAGCACGTGTCTAGCTCGGAAATCTGAACGACGCATTTCAACCTTCAGGCATGACACGGGCCTTGTCTGCGTCCCACGGTATGGCGGCACCAAATCTGGCCTGAAGCCAACTTTCGCCAGGATTTAATACCCCGTCAGTCACGTTCCTGCACTAATATAGCAATTGTTTAAAGGACGACTGTACTTAATATGCCAAATGACTCCAGTTCTTCCTGGAAAGACATTGCGTCAGGCAATAAGTCGAGGAATTGGTAGTTTGGATAAAAAGGTGGGCCAATTAAATTGCAACTCCTAGAATGAGCTCGCTCAGCGGTACCACTGTACACGACCATTCCGCGAAAGACAAAAGTGAGTGAGTATGGTTTTACGCAGCTTTTAGCAATATTCCAGCAATATCACGGCTGAGGACACCGGAAATGGGCTTCACGCATTGTTCCCATGTGGGGAATCGAACCCGGGTCTTCGGCGTGACGTGGCTACCCCACCGCCCCCTCAACACAGCACCTGAACA